GTTTTCTAGGATTAGACTCTAACTTAGTTTATTCAGCTAGCTAACTTGGTACAGTATTCTTCCGTGAAAACCGCCCAGGGCACCATATCCTATGACGCCATAGCTAACTAGCATGCTAGCATCCAATAACACACGGTTTAGCACCAATACTTGGTTACAACAAACTACCAATAGTGTGTTAACACACTAAACAGATCATTCGTGTCCGTGTCTAGTTCCTTTCATAACGCATAAATAATTCAACTTTGGCTAGCTAGCACAAAGTCAGTCATTCTAGCTACACAAGTGGACTACACATCTCGAATGTGTAGTCCACGTTGCAAAATTCTCATTGACTATAATGATATTGTATTTAGTTGCTACAGTACTGCTAGCTGGTAGTGTTGGCTAGCTAGCAATGGCTGCAGTGTTGACTTTGTTTGAAAAAACGGCGTCGCTGCGAACGTATGTAGCTGGCTAGCTAACCTCGATAGTTTCTCTATACTACACCTTTATCTTTGATACAAAGACAACTATGTAGCTAGCCAACATTAAACTAATCAAATCGTTCCATTGTAATGTAATGTGTGTCATATTACCTGCGGCGCGAAGTACAGCATGACTACTCATTCCAACTCCAACACATCAATGTGTGCCTGACTAGGTCAGGAAAATCAGATCACAATCAGATCAAAATGTGTCTTTTAATCATCTACACCTGTCTAAAAATTTGGCCACAATCAGAATGTAGACAGAATGACAAAGGGTGCATGTTAGCACCAGGTATAAACAGGGCTTAGGAGAATCCCTGCCTCATAACCTTGAGTCTGAATTACTTTGTTTTTCTTTGTGTTTCTATTAGGTCAATTAGACAGGTAGACCTTTTAAATTAAGGTGGCTTTGGGGTAAGTCCCTGCCTTGCAACAGAGGCTATGAGTTAATTCTTTTGCATATTGAGTCCTGCAACTATCAAAATCAAACATAAAAAGAGAAGTAGAAGAATTGTGAAAGCAGCTTTGGCTTTCGTGTTAAGGCCTAGATTCAATAAGGTCAAGCGTTCGGCGATAACTGACATCCGCATAGCTGGTGTTTTGGTGGTGTCTGAGGTGTAACTGTGTTAAAGCTGTGAAATTAGAGCGACTGCTTGTGTGGTTAATGTCACGAAGCCACACCCGTCCTACTCGCGTTAGAAGTTCAGAATGAGTAAGTGTAGGCTATATAGAAATAATTACACTTAAATAGAAAACCATGAAACGAAAATGAGGATTTCTAATCAGCCTAATTGAGGTGTAAAGTACATCCCACATTCCAGTGTTCGAACTTGTAAACAAGGCTCCATGTTATTTCTCTTAACGCAACTCCGTGTAGCCAATGGAAATGTCCACTTTAGGTATAATGCCGGTGTGGTGATACTGATGATTTGTCGCCACAGATGTTTTGCAGGTTAGGATTATTAACGTGCCAGATTAGGTTAATTAACGTGGCAGGTTAGGAGAAGGGTTAGGGTTAGGTTTAGCTACAAGTGTCAACAACTGTTTTCCTAGACGCGACCACTAGTTGGAGCTGTAGGCCTACTCCATCTAGCCACAATGGTAGAAATGTAAACAAACCATCTGTGGCGAATCATCAGTATCATAACATCGGGAGCCGGTTGTGGATTTGACAGCACTACACAGTTCCACTTCCGTCACAGTCAAAACAACCGCTATGCGGGTGTCGGCTAGCGCGGATCTGATAGAATCTAACCCTAAGTACCTATCTTGCAACATATTTCAACTTCGGAACTATGAACAGTTGTGATTATGGAGAAAAACTATTGAAAAAGTATACACTAACAGTACCTCTTAACGGAACATGATAGGGGGCGATGAAACATCGGAAGCCATTCATTTTCAATGGAGGCAAGCGACGTGGGCGGGAGACCATTGGGCGATGCAAGCGTGGGCTAGGGAGCGTGAACAAGGCGGGACCGAACTTGGGGAAAGCTGAACTTTATGCAAATATTCTGTGGCATCGCGGCCCTATTGACCAACCGAAGCTCACTGTAGAAAGAGAGAGAGATTGAGAAAAGTGGAGAGCTCAAGATGCCAGAGCCTACAACCTGAATCCATTAGGGAGAGATATAGAGATGCCCTGCTGTGAGTCCCAGATTGTCTGGTGGTGAGTGTGAAGGAGAGAGAGACAGAGGAGAGAGCCCATGTAATGGAGTTGTCAGCACCAGAGCCAATCCCTCCTAGGCTTCCTTGAACACATGGGAGACAGACATGGGGCTAATAGCCAGGGCTCCCACCTCTGCCATGACATCTTGTTATACCAATGGAAATTACCGGGACTGCTTTGGGTGGGAGACTTGGTCACGTAGCAGGGAGGAAGGGGTGTGTGTGTGTGTGTGTGTGTTAGCTTAAAGAGGAGGGGGGAGTTGTTTGCAGGGCTAAAACAGAAAATTACTTTCCATTCATCCTCTGTCTTACAGTATAATGGGTTGCTACTCCATTGTAAATTGTCTTAAGAGAGCAATGTCTGAGACTGGGAACAATTGGGATTCACAGTCATGCATTTCTATCACCACAAGGCGCCAGGCCTGAGACAGTATGTTTGTTTGGCTTGGGTTGGGTTGGGTTAAGACTGACTGTTTGATATCATTGCAAATTGACCTCTCGCAGTTTACTCTGTAGAGAGTTAGTACATTAGGGTGATTCACGGTTGAAGTAGACAACGTTACTGGAGTATGTTGACAATTCCATGCGTCTCAGTTCAAATGTCCTCTCACAGAAACACTTCTCAATAAATACAAACTTAACAATCTCTGTTCAAAGGGCCCGATTCAGACTTAGGAAATGTACGCCTTTCCTACACTCTTCTCAGTAGTTGGTATTCAGACTTTATGCAGGTGTGTAACGGGCTTTGCCGGCGTGGTTCCCTTGCACGTGCTGAATAAATGTAATTAAACTGCTGAACCGTCCCACTTGCTGGCCAACAGATTTTCTGGTGGATTTTTCATTCATTAGGGTTTTCAGTACATTTATCTAAAGCCATCCTTTTAAATTTGGTGTAACTTTAATTTTCTCAGACTCACTAGAATATATGGAGAGAACGGTTCAGAATATTAGCATGGTCAAGTTAATAATTATGCGGTGGATTATGTATTAAACCATCCAGACACATCAAAGATACAGTCGTCCTTCTGAAGTCAGCTGCAGGACAGGAATGAAACTGCTCAGGGATGTTCCCATGAAGCCATTGGTGATTTTAAAACAGCTACAGAGTTAAATGGCTGTGATGGGAGAAAACTGAGGCTGGATCAACAACATTGTAGTCAATGACCTAAATTACAGAGTGAAAAGAAGAATATAAATATACAGAATCAAAGTATTCCAAAACATCTTGTATGCAACAAGGCACTAAAGTAATACTGCAAAAAAACACAAAGGGATACACTGTTTGGCCTAAATGCAAAGCATTGTTAGGGGCAAATCCAACATAACTGAGTAACTACCTCCTTATTTTCAAGCATGGTGGTGGCTGCATCATGGTATGGGTATGCTTGACATTGGCAAATACTGGGGGTTTTCAGGATAAAAGAAACTGAGCTAATTACAAGCAAGATCCTAGAGGAAAACCTGCTTTACACCAGAGAATGGGAGGAATTCACCTTTCAACAGGACAATAAGCTAAAACAAGGCCAAATCTACACTGGAGTTGCTTACCAAGAAGACGGTGAATGTTCCTGAGTGGCCAAGTTCCAGTTTCTGCTTAAATCTATGGCAATACTTGAAAATTGCTGTTAAACCATGATCCCCAACATTTTGACAGAGCTTGAAAAGAATAATGGGCAAATATTGTACAATCCAGGAGTGCAAAGATCTTCTAGACTTACCCAATAAGACTCACAGCTATAATCGTTGCCAAAGGTATTTCTAACCTGTATTGATTCAGGGAGCTGAATACATATGCAGACTATTTTAGTTAATTAATTTGTAGAAAATAAATAAAAAATCAGTTTGACATTAGTATTTTGTGTAGATTGACAAAAAATGACAATGAAATCAATTTTAATCCCACTTTGTAACACAATAAAATGTTAAGAAATCCAAGGGGTCTGAATACTTTTGTAATTCACTGTATGTGGATGCACGTGACATTCCAGCAGCTTTGAGAAAAACGACTTAAGGCTCTATTCAATCGGCATCGTGGAAGTTCAGCTTTACAGTGTGATTGAAGTTTAAAGGCAATGGCAGTGCTTTAGCAGAGACTGCATTCACGGTAAACACTGCATATGTCGGCTCAATCGGAAATGACCTTAGTTGCGCCTGTTGTTCACACACGTATCTCTCTCTCTTTGGCTAGAATGGTCCCACTGGATCTCGCCTGCCTTCAATCATTGAGGACATGTATGTCCATTGTTAGAGCATTCACTCAGCTATCTTGTCAATATAGATAATCTGCCTATAATCTTGCTAATAAGCGTGGCGTGTGCTAATGGATGCAAGGCTGTCAGGCTGGACTCTCTGGACAGTCCGGCATTCATGAGGTCTGATTACATTCTGCCCTATTATTTATGCCCTTTAAATACTGATGTGACTGGGAGGAATTACAGAGAATCAGCACAACTGATGTGGATAACATTTTGATTAAAGATAATGTATTATATGGTTATAATGCATTGTACTGTAAGACTTGTCATATTATGTACCCTAAGTCTTCATGATTTCATAACGATTCTGACTAAATACGTTTTTTTCAGTCTGTTGAAAAATGTCTGCATTGAAATACATACCAATTTGCAATGCAGGAATACTTTTCATGAAAGTTAATGTTGCACTTACAACACTGTAAAAGACAAATTGTTATGGTCCCATTCCTAGTATGGGACTTCATACCCTTGGAATTGTATTATGGAATGGAACCATCTGCAGTTAACCATTTCACAGGTGTACCCTTAATATCTTGACCTTCCATAGCTGGCCCAGTGAAACAGTCCCATGAAGGGAACTCCCACTCCCAGCTATCCAATGACTTGATCCAACGGTCCTTTTATAGCCTTTGGAGCTGCAGAGATGGATGCAATGGCTCCAGAATCAATTAACTAGAAAGAAAAGACCGGAAGCTAACCTCATGCTGCTCCATTTAATTGTGATTTGACTCTTTTAGCCCAGTGATTTAAGATGATACGCCTTTTTCCCCCCTAACCTATCAGCTATAAATTACAGTCGAAGCAAAGTACAAAATAATAATTTGGTTTCGCAATACGGGGCCAATTTCATTTGGGGAAGCCATTGCGATTGAGTCATGCTTTCGATGTGTAAATCCAAATGACCAAAAACAATCCCTGGTTAATGTATTTTAGCTCAGCGGCTAACCGTTAATACGGTGAAATAGGTGTTCAATGAGCGGGTGTGTTTTATTCATCTCGCTCGTTAGTGGGAGCGAATCCAGATGAGACAATTACTGGCTGAACTCCAACACACAGGCGCATTATGCCAAGTACAGCGAACGAAAATGACTGAAAAGTAGGTACGTTAGAATGAGAGACACGTGTGTTAGAATCGAGAGGGGAAAAAAAGACTAGGGCAAAACTTCCAGTTTAGAATAATCATATAATTAGTTGTAGCGTACAAAAGACTGTAGCCTACAGCAATGCAGAGTTTGGTTATACCGTTTTGGCAACGTCATCAATATGAATCTACACAGAGATTAGTTAATGGCTCAACGGCTTCTTAGCTACAGTGTTCCTGTGTACTGCGCAACAGAAGAAATCCAAAACAAGCCTAATTTCACAGTAATTACTCGTTACCACACACTCACAATCAACATCCAATCTAGTTCAACTATGGCTATAAACTTCAATGCATGACAGTGACAGCAGCTGTCCATATCTAGAAATCCAGGGAAGATCCAACCCTAATTCATAACACTTATCTGGAGTGAGTTACCTCTTTTACAGTAAGCTAGAAGTGTTTATTTTGTTACTTCTCTCTTTGTATGTGGTAATGCTGCGCTATTGCCAAACAAACTTGGGCTGGTTAAAAGCGGTTGCTCCCTCGACTCCCATTGGGTTCTATGTCTTCTTCTCTCAGCTACTGCAGGGTGTCTCCTGGTGAACGGAGCCTGAGGCTGATCCTGGGTCAGTTCCTGGGGCGCTGGTGGTGGTAGAGGGGTCACTGGAGCCGTATTTAGTCTGCAGGGAGCGGCCCACGTAGCTCCAGTACTCCATCCGGATGGTGTCCTTCTCATGGGCCAGGAGCTCACAGAGCTGGGGTGAGAACAGGAGGAGAGGGAGGGGGGATGGAGAGAGACAGAGAGAGGGTTAGGGATATAGCAGGATTAAAGGGTTGAAGGTGCAAGGGACGAGAGATGGACAGAGTGGACAATATCTATTTACACAACAGAGCAGAAAGATTAAAGGAAGAATTGATGTGGTAATGTTATGTGGGGTAAAAAAAAACAGATAATGTTCACTTCATTGCTCAAAGAATGCCAAATCAAAATGTTTTATTTTTGCATTGTCTTGCAACCCAAGGGTTTGTAACTTTGTGCTGATTTGCTAACACTTGCTTGTTTGCTTATGTGCAAATCGAATTACCTGGTCATTATTTATCTTCCATCCATTACCACAGCTAACATAGCCATGGTAGACATACTGGTAGTGAAGTAGCTGGCTAGTGGCTACTCAACATACATTTTACACCTCTCACGGTTGCACTAGCATTGAGAAACATCCTTTTTCTAAGTTAATAAAGGTGGAAAAATAAGAATCTCATTTTCAACAACCAATTTAATGAAATCCCTTCCCGCTGCATGCATTTCTGATTAGCCGGAACTCAAATATGCATCAGAGCTCCTGTAGCGCATTTTCTGACTGGGACAATGCCCATGTTGATGATTATAAGCATAGCCAAGTTATTTATTTATTTTTAAACAATTGAGAACAGCAAAAAAAATTAAACACTTCCCAAGAAACCTAATTAACTCCGACAGACACCCGAGCATTTAGTTGCCCAAAATAGAGGCAACATACGAGCTGTCACTCAAACTGCCAGGGACTGTCATTGGAGACTTGGAAAAACATGCAAGAAATCCGGTGCGATAGGATAAAGCGTTTTCAAATCCGACTTGTTGAATAATTCCGACTGATTTTCCTTGTTCCTCAGCCTTGAACTCTTTGTGCGAGGGCTGCTCTACCCTGATTGACTCTCAGTCAATGTTTTATACTCGAGGTGTACAAAGGAAGATGTCTCGGCTATGGTAGAAGACACAATTTCCATTCTCTGCACATTGTTGCCAAGTTCTTCAGCATTTACACAAGTTTCCCAGTGCATTCCTGAGGGATCCCCAAGATGAGATGTGCACATTTCTGTTCGGGCCGAGCACTAGCACATTTGTTTCAACTTGTCAAAGCTTGGTGTTTAGTTGAATCAAGTGTGCTACTGCTGGGCTAAAATAAAAATGTGCACTCCCTTCGGGTCCTCCAGGAAATTGATTGAGAATCAGTGATCTAAAGACTTTCACGTGAGTGCACGATCCCATTTCTGCCACTAAATTAGTTTAGAGTTGGGATTACACTACTTTAGAGTAATCCCAAATAAGATAGTGCCTAATTTCCCATACATTCGGTCCATGTGCTGAACTATCCTTTTAAGTGGGAGAAGTCCCCATGTTGAACTCTTCTTTTAAATCAGACAGGTCCCCATGCTGAACTATCCCTTTAAGTCTAGTAGGACAGCGTGCTAAACTATCCCTTAAAGTCAGATAGGTCCCAGTGCTGCTCACCTCCAGGGCCTTACTGAGGACTTCCTCCTGGTATCCCGAGGTGTTTTCCAGGGAGTCTTCGTAGATGTCCACCAGGAAGCCCAACAGGTAGGGCGAGCAGTGGGTCTCCTTGAGCTCCAGGATCTGCTCCAGGAGACCCGGGTGGGACGACAGGCCCAGGTCCTGTAGAATCCTGGGGGGGGGAAGAGGGGTGTGAAAAGCGTAGACCAACTCCGCAAAAGCAGTATCCCTATTCAGAGCTCCTAAACCAGGGGTCGGCAACCAGCAGCTCTTGACCCCCTCCCCCATGGGTTTGGAAAGATCGGGACTATCTGAGATTAGGGCTGCTGTGGCAGTCATTACATTTTGACAGCCGGTTATTGGCATGCAAAAGACTGTCGGTCTCACTGTATTTTACCATTAATTACCATAAACATGTTAAGCATCTCCACACATACAAGCCACTGATGCGGGCCTTTGGAACATCTACAATTTAAAAAGTCTAAATAAATTTTATATACACCATCACAAAACATCCATTATTTATTTTAGTCAGGTCTAAAGAAACATTATTATATGAAGAAAATGTATTTCAGAAGAACAGAATATGAGTTGGCCTACAGTATGCCTATGTTATCTGGCTATGCTCCAGGCTGTAGGCTTGTTCATTTAGCTGAGAAGATATGCTTAAGTCCTGTGCCATTCTTTTATTTTACATGATTTTATAGTAAGAAGAATATAATGTAACGTTTATTTCTCCCATTATGGAGCAAGTGCGCATATATGAAGTGGCTATGTTGAGCATAAAAGTGATAATTTGAAACAGGTCCTATATGCTACATTTAGAGTTATTTGGCAACTTTAGTTGAGAATGACATAAACCTTATGGGCTGAATGGTACGACTATAGGCTATTGATGGTTTGAGAAAGTAGCAAAAAAAAAAGCTTGTGCTCCGTTCCTTGCCTCAGGCTGCACATCTCTTCTCTCATCAAATGATCCTATTTTCACCCGCCATCAGACTATTCTGAATTGAATCTTGTCTTTACTAATATGAAAAAATAAATAATAATACATGTCATCTGTTTGCACTCGAATAGCGAAGGGAGGCCGTGCGCTTTCCCGCCGGTCCGTTTTGTAAGCTACTTCGGTTTTATAGCGGAGCATGCATGTGCTTTGGGAAGTAAATCTAACACTTATTTTACTCCACTGCATCAACCACTGTTCGAGGCGCATGCTCTCGCTGCCCGACAGGTGATATTCAGCCCAAACTCTGTATGCCATGGGCCTTCTAAACTTGTTCCTGCAGCTACCCAGTGCTTAATTTGGGAAACCAAGTGTAATCTGTTCGGTAACATCGACAATAACATGTTTCTCTAAACAGTTGACAGCCCGTCTGCGTGCTCGAGAAAGGAATAAAGGATTGAGAGATGGAAACGCATGGTGGTGAGATTCTGTTTATCTAAAGATAATGTCACCCAATTAATTGAAAATATAAAAAATTCCCTATTACTAGGCGATTCAAAATCAAATTCACTCATTGTAGGCTAACTGTAAGGTGCCATGCACAATCAGTGAACCAACAGCATCGCCTAGGGCTATACGTTCTCTACCAGACTCATGGATATAAATGTTGGAGCACAGCTTAAGTAAACCAGTCCATCCACTATGCATAATAATACAGTCCACACTCAAAGGCGATTACTCAAATTTGTTTAATTTTGGAGTATAGGCTAGACCAATTATGTAGCAAAGGCATCTTAAATCAGTTTTGTTTTCTGCCATGCATAATATGCAGTTGGCTGTGTATTATATAATGGCACAATCATAACTTCAATTCAGGTGTTTCTTTCGGGCTCATTTGCCTATGCATAAACTGCAGTGGGATTATTTAAGATACTCTTTGAAGAGGTCGGGTTTCAGATTTTTTTTGGAAGATGGGCAGGGACTCTGCTGTCCTAGATTCAGGGGGGAAGCTGGTTCCACCATTGGAGTGTCAGGACAGAAAAGAGCTTTGACTGTGCTGAGCGGGAGGGCCAAGAGACCAGAGGTAGCAGAATGGAGTACTCTGTATGGATTGACATGGGTAACTGGGATCCCGGGAACACTTCTAATTCCCCCCCCCCAAAAAAAATGACAAGACCCAGGAAATTATATTTTGCCCCAATGTCGGCACTAAAGCAATTCCATAAGATACACAACATGTGCAGCATCAGATTAGCAAAAAATGTAATAGCACATTATCAAAACAGGTTGTCGCATGGAAGCCTTTAGCCTAGTGTATTTAGTTCACACAAAGCACACGCGACCCGATTTGTTAATAAACCCTACAGGAAACCCCTACAGTATAGCCTATAAATAGCGTGTGCCTCTTTGAGCTGTCATTGTGACTCCAGTCATACATTTGATAGGCCTATGCACAATTCACTACATAGGCATCTCTGTCACAGACATTAAGTCTGTGAAAACCAAAATCCTGACTCCTGTCTCGCATGAAAATTCTTTCTTCTGTAATCCATAGGTTACATTATCAAAGCACGTCTCGCCTATGCATGTCAAAATACCGCTATAACATTTCCCCCACTTCTCATTCTTGCTGCCCATATGAGAGCTTCGGTAAAGAATGTGTGATCAACATACGGTATGAGAGTAGATATGGATATTTTATTAAACAGAGTTGGTCCCAGTTAAGATACCTTGATATTTAAACTATTTCCACTCTTCATCTGACCATTATTCATGAGCTGATCTGTTATCTGTATAATCATCCACTCGATTTAGCCAAATATAGGAGATAACCTCCAACTAATGACAGAATATCTAGCAAGCTTAGCAACTTTGGTCATTTGACTTTTGTTTGACTGCCGTTAGAAAGTTTGTATGATTCGACAACGCTATACACGGGGTGTGCTGTGTCGAGATGGATTACTGCTGAAATGCCCTGAATTGAGGAACATGATACCGCTCTGAATTTATGAACCGCTTGTTTTGCAATTCACATCAATGCCGATCAAACATTTACTCTATCATTACTTAATATCAGTTTAATTTGCTCTGACATCTTTACATAGTGGGGCAACCAAGCCGACAAGGTGGCGCAGCGCCCATCTTATTTGGGGAGAACCCTGGCATAGTGGCCATATCTTGGTTTTAAACGCTTTAAATGGGCACTTTCAATTTGCGATATTTCCTGGGACTCTCGTGATAAATATGAATTATTCCCGGTATTGAAACTTCGTAGATTTAGGAGAAAATAATCATCCCTAGTACACAGGTTGGGGTGTAGATTTTGAGCATAGCCTGAAGGTAGGGAGGGGCAGTTCCTCTTGCTGCTCCGTAGGCAAAGTGCCATGGTCTTGTAGTGGATGCAAGCTTCCACTGGAAGCCAGTGGACTGTGCAGAGGAGCGGGGTGACATGGGAGAACTTGGGAAGGTTGAACACCAGGCAGGCTGTGGCAGTCTGGATAAATTGCAGGGGTTTGATGGCACAAGCGGGGAGCCCAGCCAACAGGGAGTTGCAGTAGTCCAGACGGGAGATGACAAGTGCCTGGATTAGGACCTGCCCCACTTCCTGTGTGAGGTAGGGTCATACTCTATGGATGTTGTAGAGCATGAACCTGCAGGAGTGAGTCACTGCTTTGAGATTTGCAGAGAACGACAGGGTGTTGTCCAGGCTGTTTTTCCTCACAAAAAGTAACATCACTCCTGTAGCATATTTAATGTATGTTCACGAGATTGATTCTCCCTACACCTTCACCAGAAACGCTGAGTCCACTGCTCTGTGACCCTGAAAGTCAGATTTCATGGTAATTTGATCTGACTGCTATCCGAGGTGCTGAATATCAGATATTGCTGCTATTGGCTGGCAAAGGCTCAAATGTATTGTGTGGCTCTCTCAACACTGTTTGTGAGGAAAAAAGGGCTCTTCCGATCATAAAGGTTGCAGACCCCTGTCCTAAAGTAAACATGGTGACTTAAATTTTTTATTTTTTTTGTCATTTAGCAGACGCTCTTATCCAGAGCGACTTACAGTTAGTGAGTGCATACATTTTCATACTGGCCCCCCGTGGGAAACGAACCCACAACCCTGGCGTTGCAAGCGCCATGCTCTCCCAGCTGAGCTACAGGGGACATCTGCTGGTGGGGGATAGAAACTTTCCAGGACAATACATCGATTCAATCACACATAACTGTAGTAAAACAAAACTGCACAGTCATATAGCAAGGTAAGTGTGTTATTACCCATAACGCTGTAGACTCGTTATTATGTAGACGTTATTAATTATGTATGATTTAATTCCCTACTGAATGAATCCTGTATGACACTTACCCTTTTAAATAGTTCCACACACTTTCGTTGTGGGGAGCCTTCTTAATCTGTTTGAGACTGTACCTTAAAAAAGACAGAATGAGAACACATTCATCACATATGTCTGACGTAGCACACTGTAAATCTTTGCCCAGTCCAGAAACAAGCCCTACCCCATTTTCAAAAACAATCCCTTACCCATGGAAATTCTAAAGGGTTTGATAGGTATAATGCTGGAAGTCCTACCAAGCCTATCAGAAGGCAAGGTGGAGTTACTATCATGTTGCTCATACCTGTCACATCCTTTTAGATAAATGGAGTGGGTAGGGGCTAGGAGGATGAAGTGCCAAATGGGTAGCGGCTAGGAGGTTTTTTCTGGACCAAGCCTTTCCCATGTTCAGTTTCTACTCAACAGTAGTAAGGTGTGGGGCTGACATGAGATACAGCTTGTAGGGAAAGCAGGTACATACTGCACTTCTCTGTTGCGTATGGCTTGGTCTGAGTAGCCTTTCGTGTGCGAGATGATGTAGTGCCTCTGGTTCCATGCGGAGTTGTTCCTCACATCTTCCTCCAATAACTGCTCCACATACTCCAGCTCACTGTCCCACAGATTGTACTCCTAGAAAATAATACACACTTATTTAGTACTGACACACACACTCCATAAAAACTAACTTAGTAGAGGCATACTCTAGCTTACTGTCCCACAGCTTGTACTTCTGGAGTACACTTATTTAGTACTGACAGACAAACACACCATTGTCCTTGCTATTGTCTATTCCAATGGCATGTGACCATTCTGATTTGTGATTCATATTCACTGCACATAAAGGATTTTCTTGTTCAGAAATCGCCATTCATTCTGATATCCTAGAGACATATTTTTGATCCATCCGCTACTAGACACTTTCCAAGACAATAATCTACAATCTATTCAGTCACACATAACTGTAGTAAAATAAAACTGCAGTCATATAATCAATGCAGCCCATTTCAGAGAGCCTGTTTGGTGGCAGAATGCAAATGTGACTTCATTTACATAGACATGCAAAAATGAATTATGCTAATCAACAGCGTTTGGTGTCATTACCATAAATCTGGAGCTGATAACATATTCAAAATTGGGCCATTGAGTCTGAGGTAGGCTACATTCACAATGCTTTTTCAGTTTGATTGCAAATCATGTAACACTACTGTATGACGCTACTAGCTAACAATTCACCATCGGTTACAAACGCAGCCTGGTTGTTGAGGCTCCTACCTTGATGACCCACTGTCTGTGCTGCCAGGCATGGTAGTTCTTAGCGTCCTGACTTAGGATCTCTGCAATGAACTCCAGTTCCTCCGAGGGGTCGTTCAGCCACTCCACCACCATTCGTCTATGGTGCCTAGGATAGGGAGCAGACGGTTAAGTCTTTGTGTAGAACCGAAGAAGAAAAATAAGAACTTTATTGTCCAACTTGCAGAGAACGGAAATGTGTCTTTATGCTCACAACCCAATGTTGGATGATGTTGTCATCCAACCACATTTGTAATTTTTTTTAAAGTATAGTACACAATATATTACATAAAGTAGGTTCTTAAAGAACCATAGAGTTTAGTCTGCCTCAACTATGGTCGGATTGTGATACTGGTATAGCGACAACACTTAAAATCTAGATTGGCAGAGCTCACCAGACTTGGTAGTTTTTGGGCTGGTCCTCGATGATGGCTGTGATGTACCTCATCTCCTCTCTCAGGTCCTTCTCCAGGGCCTGCAGTAACACTCGCCGGTAGTGCCTTCACACACACAAAATGGAGAGAGGAAATGTTCACCCTTTCTTTATGGTCTTGCACTTTTCATTTTCGAAGGAGAGGATAATATCTAAGAAAAGTATTGGTTTTCTACTGTTGTGTTCATAAATCACAATAACACCTGCTTACCATACAGTGTAATTTGCAGCGTTCAGTTCAATGGCTTCAGCTGTCAGCGCGAGTGCCCTGTCGCTTTTTTCATCATTCTTCAGTAACGCTCGGAAATAGTCATACACATCTGTGACTATTGGAGACAAATGTGACATGTTTGGTGTGCAAAGTTTCTGATGCAAAGTCAAATAAAGTGACTTCAGAGTTATTTAGTAGGCTAAATGCATGACATTGACAACATAAAACAATATGGATGTCTGGTTTTAAATGATATGCTAAGTTCAATTTCTTACACTTGTCAGAGTAGGCAATCTTCACAACAGGATTGGGACCATCATCTTGAGGAACAGGCTCTAAATCAGCCCACTCTTTTCTGTCTCTGTATGTGAGGGGAGACGGGAGGGAGAGAGGGGAAGGTAAAGAGAGAGACATTAGTGAATGGGGTAACTGTTCAGTCTCGGGCCAATTCGATAATACCACAATTGGCCTGATTTTTTCAGGTATCACTTTTAATAAAATTAAACAACATAGAAAACAATAATAACTTGCTAATTGTAAGTTTACCATCAATTACAGATCAAGCCATGGCAAGCAATGGCTAGTTAGCGAACTACCTCACACCGGTTAGGGAAGTGGGGAAAAACATTATTCTCCACAGAGAATAATCTTTGACTTCACATAATGTGGTCCTCTGTAGCTCTGCTGGTAGAGCACGGCGCTTGTAACGCCAAGGTAGTGGGTTCAATCCCCGGGACCAACCATACACAAAAAAAAAAAATGTATGCACGCATGACTGTAAGTCGCTTTGGATAAAAGCGTCTGCTAAATGGCATATTATTATTATACTCATCGTCTCCTCCTCGGCCCAGCAAGCTACTGTAACTAGCTACGCTACTTAGCCTTGCCTAACTAGCTAGCTTAGCCTACCTGTAAAACACATAACGGAACGGGTCTTCATAGTCAATCTCGGGCTCTTCCTCGCTCCTCCTCTCCTTCTGAAGTACATTTGAAGTTTCTTCAATACCTGACATTCTGTAATAAACTGGTCTTTCGGTTGCAGGCTGAATAAGAGCTGCCTTATTTGTTAGGTCGGACGTCTGTGATATTGCACTCATGGACGTCATTTCCTGTTTTGTGCAACTCTGTTAATCGTTTTACAAGGAACAGTGTACTGGAGCACGTATGGTCCGCGTAGTGGTTGATAAATATATATATATATAAATAAAGGAGTTTTTAAAACGAGTGTTTATGTCCGCAGTTTGTTACCTCATTCTCGAATAAATAGTCTTCAAAATGGATGAAAATATAAGGTGTGTTTTGTAAGTATGCACACAGGTTTACCAAAGAAACTATTACATTGGGCACGAACATGTATTTCATTCCCTACACCGGATTAGTGTGGAATGGAAACAGTGTTTTGAATCTTTAGAAACAAAAGATTCAGTACATCGTTTTGAGTTTAAGAATGACACGTTTTAGCAAGAATTTATCCCATCACTGGTCTATCCACAAATGCCAAACGACCAAGGAGAGGGGCTCCCCCTACTGACCATCTACTGTATGTACTGTACCAATTATTCTTCATGGCTTGTCATTATAATGGCAATTGACATGTTCACAGAACAGCAGAGAAGTGATAAATGTACTATAGAACCTGTAAGTGTCTACTAAAATAATTAAGTTTAAGTTCAAAAGTGCTTTTTCCATAAAGACCAATACCGTGTCAGTGGATACTTTTCAAAAAGCCCTTTATTTTTTGAACACATGACAATTCATCATGTCATACAAAAGTCATTAGAATCTAACATAATTGTACATAAAGTTAACCACAAGCTTATCGTAGGCTGATGTGTAAGTTGGAAGTATAAAAACAATTGCTATTATCCATGACCATTCAGGTATAAGTAACCAGATGGAATTCAACCTCCTTTGTTCAGCAGAAGTCACTGTTTGCCATTGCCGTTAATGGGCAGTTTCTTGTAGGCGTCAGAGTCTAGGAAGGCCTTGATTTTGGGACGGGCAGACATCTTCTCGACAAAACTCTTCAGGGAGGGGAAGGTATCCAGGCAACTGGAGCAGAGCACCAGGTGGTTGAGCAGCACTTCAAAAAGATTGTAGTCGGCAAACGAAGGCTATGTAGGATATGGAGCAGAAATATAATCTCTCATTATGGCATTATTAACTTCAATGGGGATACCTGTTCTACTCATTCTAGTTTTGTGATAGGTAACAGACGGTACTGTGATTACAAGAGAACCAAACCATTTAGTAAATCCATTTGGTAAATTAGGCTTTTTTGGGCCACACTACTGATTGCAGTATGTACTAAATTAGAACTCCATAATTTAAGAGCCCTCTTTTTGGGTGCATTGCAGGATCGGTTACCTTGTCGCCAACAAGATAACCAGTCTTGTTTTTGGCCATCACAGCTTCAAACTTGTCGAGGTGGTTAGGAAGGTCTTTGACATATGGGTCTTTACCAGTATCCTATGAAAAGGAGAATGTGATTAATCATAATGACACTTCATAAATGTTTACCCATTAAGCTTCATAAAAAAATAAAACTTTGAACCAAATGTTTTTTTACTGCACAGTACAGGTAAATTTTTTTAATGAACTGTACCCTTAGTCCGAATTTCAGCTTTGATGAATACTTACGTATTCCTGGTAAATCATTTTTACGTATTTAAGACGAAGGTCCTCAACGCCATCACACATCATGTCAATGAGGGCAGCCTCCTTGCCATCTTTCCCATAGGCATCTGTGTGTGTTCGAGTTAGGTGAAAGTATAATTAACATTTCATGGTTATATTTGATCTATTTAAAAAGGATAAATAGAGTGAGGAAAACAATGTAAATATATGACATAACGATTGAGATAAATTACCATGATTGCGGCCCAAGTGCCTCAGAATGGCATTTGACTGGTACAGGGCAAATCCTCCATCTTCGAACTTGGGCAACTGACCAAATACCTAAAACCAAAAAATGGAATTGTGTCATTTATTATAGAGTTTAACAACTAATAGGGACATGGGGTTTACATATTTGTTGTAGCTGAATCAACCCTACATTGATGATAACAGAAGATAATACAGGTAGATACTGCAACACAAAACTCATGAGGTAAATCTCTTTCCTTAAATATGAATAACAGAAAGCACAGACGGAGATTGTAGAAAAAAAAACAAACAGTGTACAATAAACAAATCGATCCTCCTTCAAAAGCACATCCCAGCTGTTATCACTAGACCATTATCACTGGCTAAACTGAACAGGTTGACAACAACCGTGTTGTTGGAGCCGGCATGCTAGTTGGCTGTGGCGTCATATGACTAGGTGCACTGGACGGTTTTCACGGAAGAATACTGTACCAAGTTAGCTAGCTGAATAAACTAAGTTAGTCTATTCCTAGAAAACATTGAACTGCTGTAGTTTACAACAATTATAGTTTCTGAGGTGGAAGTTGGGAGAGTTATATTTGGGTGTTTCAGTGAAACGTAAGTGAGGAAGGCCCCGCTCTCTCGCTTTCCCAGATGTTTAGTTCATTTCATTCCGATCTCCTTTGCATTATTGTAGCCATTTTCTGTAGCCTGTCAACTATGCCTCTGTCTATCCCTGTTCTCTCCTCTCCGCACAGGCTATACAAACGCCTCACACCGCGTGGCTGCTGCCTCTCTAACCTGGTGGTCCCTGCACGCACGACCCACGTGGAGTTCCAGGTCTCCGGCAGCTTCTGGAACTGCCGTTCTGCGGCCAACAAGGCAGAGTTCATCTCAGCCTATGCTACCCTCCAGTCCCTCGACTTCTTGGCGCTGACGGAAACATGGATTACCACTGAAAACACTGCTACTCCTACTGCTCTCTCCTCGTCTGACCATGTGTTCTCGCATACCCCGAGAGCATCTGGTCAGCGGGGTGGTGGCACAGGAATCCTCATCTCTCCCAAGTGGACATTCTCTCTTTTTCCCCTGACCCATCTGTCTATCTCCTCATTTGAATTCGATGCTGTCACAGTCACTAGCCCATTTAAGCTTAACATCCTTGTAATTTATCGCCTTACAGGTTCCCTTGGAATTCATCAATGAGCTTGATAAGTTCCTTTCCTGATGGCTCACCCCTCACAGTTCTGGCTGACTTCAACCTCCCTACGTCTACCTTTGACTCATTACTCTCTGCCTCCTTCTTTCCACTCCTCTCCTCTTTTGACCTCACCCTCTCACCATCCCCCCCTACTCACAAGGCAGGCAATACGCTTGAACTCATCTTTACTAGATGCTGTTCTTCTACTAATCTCACTGCAACTCCCCTCCATGTCTCCGACCACTACTTTGTATCCTTTTCTCTCTCGCTCTCCTCCAACACTACTCACTCTGCCCCTACTCAGATGGTAATGCGCCGTCGCAACCGTCGCTCTCTCCTCTTCCATCCTATCACCTCTTCCCTCTGCTCAATCCTTCTCCCTCCAATCTCCTGATTCTGCCTCAACAACCCTCCTCTCCTCCCTTTCTGCATCCTTTGACTCTCTATGTCCCCTATCCTCCCGGCCGGCTTGGTCCTCCCCTCCTGCTCCGTGGCTTTGAAGACTCATTGCGAGCTCACAGAACAGGGCTCCGGGCAGCCGAGCGGAAATGGAGGAAAACTAGACTCCCTGCGGACCTGGCATCTTTTCACTCCCTCCTCTCTACATTTTCTTCATCTGTTTCTGCTGCTAAAGCCACTTTCTACCACTTAATTCCAAGCATCTGCCTCTAACCCTAGGAAGCTCTTTGCCACCTTCTCCTCCCTGCTGAATCCTCCTCCCCTCCCCTCCCTCTCTGTGGATGACTTCGTCAACCATTTTGAAAAGAAGGTTGACGACATCCGATCCTCGTTTGTTAAGTCAAATGACACTGCTGGTCCTGCTCACACTGCCCTACCCTATGCTTTGACTTCTTTCTCCCCTCTCTCTCCACATGAAATCTTGCGACTTGTGACGGCCGGCCGCCCAACAACCTGCCCGCTTGACCCTATCCCCTCCTCTCTTCTCCAGACCATATCCGGTGACCTTCTCCCTTACCTCACCCCGCTCATCAACTCATCCTTGACCGCTGGCTATGTCCCTTCCGTCTTCAAGAGAGCGAGAGTTGCACCCCTTCTCAAAAAACCAACACTCGATCCCTCCGATGTCAACAACTACAGACCAGTATCCCTTCTTTCTTTTCTCTCCAAAACTCTTTAGCCAACTCTCTTGCTATCTCTCTCAGAATGACCTTCTTGATCCAAACCAGTCAGGTTTCAAGACTGGTCATTCAACTGAGACTGCTCTTCTCTGTGTCACGGAGGCTCTCCGCACTGCTAAAGCTAACTCTCTCTCCTCTGCTCTTGTCCTTCTAGACCTGTCTGCTGCCTTTGACACTGTGAACCATCAGATCCTCCTCTCCACCCTCTCCGAGTTGGGCATCTCCGGCACGGCTCACTCTTGGATTGCGTCCTACCTGACCGGTCGCTCCTACCAAGTGGCGTGGCGAGAATCTGTCTCCGCACCATGTGCTCTCACCACTGGTGTCCCCCAGGGCTCAGTTCTAGGCCCTCTCCTATTCTCGCTATACACCAAGTCACTTGGCTCTGTCATATCCTCACATGGCCTCTCCTATCATTGCTACGCAGACGACACACAACTAATCTTCTCCTTTCCCCCTTCTGATAACCAGGTGGCGAATCGCATCTCTGCATGTCTGGCAGACATATCAGTGTGGATGACAGATCACCACCTCAAGCTGAACCTTGGCAAGACAGAGCTGCTCTTCCTCCCGGGGAAGGACTGCCCGTTCCATGATCTCGCCATCACGGTTGACAACTCCGTTGTGTCCTCCTCCCAGAGTGCGAAGAGCCTTGGCGTGACCCTGGACAACACCCTGTCGTTCTCCGCTAACATCAAGGCGGTGACCCGATCCTGTAGGTTCATGCTCTACAACATTGAGAGTATGACCCTGCCTTACACAGGAAGCGGCACAGGTCCTAATCCAGGCACTTGTCATCTCCCGTCTGGATTACTGCAACTCGCTGTTGGCTGGGCTCCCTGCCTGTGCCATTAAACCCCTACAACTCATCCAGAATGCCGCAGCCCGTCTGGTGTTCAACCTTCCCAAGTTCTCTCACGTCACCCCACTCCTCCGCACACTCCACTGGCTTCCAGTTGAAGCTCGCATCTGCTACAAGACCATGGTGCTTGCCTACGGAGCTGTGAGGGGAACGGCACCTCTGTACCTTCAGGCTCTGATCAGTCCCTACACCCAAACGAGGGCATTGCGTTCATCCACCTCTGGCCTGCTGGCCCCCCCTACCTCTGCGGAAGCACAGTTCCCGCTCAGCCCAGTCAAAACTGTTCGCTGCTCTGGCACCCCAATGGTAGAACAAGCTCCCTCACGACGCCAGGACAGCGGAGTAACTCACCACCTTCCGGAGACACTTGAAACCCCACCTCTTTAAGAAATACCTGGGATAGGATAAAGTAATCCTTCTACCCCCCCTTACCCCACCCCAAAGAAAGAAAAAAAACATATTGTAAAGTGGTTATCCCACTGGGTATAAGGTGAATGCACCAATTTGTAAGTCGCTCTGGATAAGAGAGTCTGCTAAATGACGTAAATGATAACAAAGCAATTATCCATTCCCCACTCACACAAGTGGCTTTCAGATCTCCCTTCATCCAGTCTGCAAAGTCCACCACGATCTCCTTCCACTCCTGGCCCTGGTCGGCCATCATGATTCTCATAGCGCCACAGCGCCCTGTGGTAAACAAGGGTCTCTGTTAGCACAGGTGAACCAAAACAGATCTCAAATCATAACAGACAATTTGACACAGATCTAACAAGTCATACATAGCACTAGTGTTGGGCAAATACAGACTAGTTAAAATTATATTGAAAAAGGGTACAATAAATGTTGTAAGGTGAAGTAAAACAAAGTTTGTTATTCTATTTCCCTTTGATTAACAGGTTCAAAGTTTGCTTCCTTATTGATGTACAGCAATAGTAGGGCTATAAAAAGGCAGGTTCTATCCAGAAATAAAACTATACCTTCTCTCTGGGATTATTTATACGACCTTTCTTCATTATTCAAGTCCAAAACCTTTTTTGGGTTCAATGAAACCTTAGTCCCATGACCCAATTGCTCACCAGTGCACTCCACATTAATCTGGGTCACATGCTCCTGACAGAAAGCCAGCCCTTCTCATTGCTAAAGCGCCATGAATAATGTAAACAGACAGAAGGAGCACCAGTACTTTGGAAACAAATGTTTCAGTATATGAACAGTGATCATGGTGGCCAGCTGAGCCAAACTAATACTCCCAAGTATTTTCTGTGATAACAATCAAAAGGGATGGGTGAGGCTAAACTGCCACTGTGGGTGAAATCCAGGTCATATCATCTGTGTGAAAGATCACACATGGTGTTGAGATTACCTGGAATGACTTCACCTACAGTTTAAAACCAATAGAAACACAATATTGAGTATTGATTCAAGCTGCTGCAGTAGGCCATTGCAGCATTTTCCAAACTCGGTCCTCGGGACCCCTAGGGGTAAACATTTTGGTTTTTGCCCTAACACTACACAGCAGATTCAAATTATCAAAGCTTGATGATTCGTTGATTATCTGAATCAGCTGTGTAGTGCTAGGGCAAAAAACTAAAACTCACACAGTTTGGGAAACCCTGGGCTATTGGGTAATGAATGACATAAGGTCTTAGGATATGACACTTAAATTAAAGTTCATGAATATGCGCAGTAGCATGTGCAAGGTTTTTGTCTTTCACTTCAAACAATCGTACTCCATCACAATACATTTATGGCTGTCAAATTGAAGGAAAGATTTAGTAATAAATTATCAATATGAAAAGCTTATAACAGGGAATACACTCTCCAATAGTAGGCTATTATTACTTAAAAACAATAGCCAGGCTCTATCATGTGATGTTGAATAGGATTAACTGACTCCACATACCTCGGACTCCAAAGTAAGTAATTGTGTAGGGACCCACTGGGGAGAGGAGATAAAAGTCAAGTTATTCAAAGAAACTACATTGATTAAAACATTTTTTGTATTAGTCAGACTTATTACATGGATTCAGACAGGTCTGTTTTGTGCCCCGTTGCCATTTCAATTAATGACATAGCTGATTGAAGAAAGTACAACTGCTAGACTTTTTTAAACCAAAACTATACTCTGTAGCTCAGATGGTAGAGCAATGCGCTTGTAACGCCAAGGTAGTGGGTTCGATCCCCGGGACCACCCATACACAAAAATGTATGCACGCATGACTGTAAGTCGCTTTGGATAAAAGCGTCTGCTAAATGGCATATTATTATTATTAGAGAATGTATTATCAAATACTACGGATTTAGTATGGTATAGTATTAAGTGCTATTTGCATGTGAAAATGCCATGCAACATTAACTTCAATCTTGCTTTACATAATTTTGTTGCCAAACAAATCTGTCATTGTGGCCAGTGTGGTGTCTGTAGCTTTTTAGCATATCGAGTCTCCGGGTCATTTCAGGTCTAGTTAGCCAACAGGCTGAAGTTCACCCACACCACTGTTATGTAAGGAGCATAAAAATCGTTGGCCACTGTCTGACAACATATATCTCAACCGACTCAACAATAGACATCCTCGAATACGAAGTTTTAATATACACATGAAAACATTGCAACTTTAGCTAGCTAGAATGAAATGAATTAAAACGTCAACCATGCATAACTGAGTGGAAGGGCTATCGGTTGTGCTGTTACATAAGAACCCTCGGTTTACGCCAAGAAAATAGCATACCTTCCAGCTAAGTAGAGTGTTTCTCGGTCGTATTTTTCGTTTAACGTGGAAGATCAAGTTGCAAAAACGATTAGGCCTAGATAGCTAGGCTAGTTCAAGTTAGCTTACTTAAAATGCATAGCGAGTGCACGACCGACTAAAGGACAGACAGCTGACTGTGCGCTAGTATGAGGTGTAAATCCTAATTTAGATTAGCTATTGCACATCGCTTTATAATGTTTAAAAGCCATTACTTACTTTTGTGCTGCAAGAGTCGTGGTGGCCCTGACAGTAACGACTGAATTAAACCTGTGATTGAAAATGGAACGGGGCTTCTCCTTTTCTTCTAAGCTCCTAAATACACGCCCACATTTGTCGTTTTCTGTAAAGTCATTATGACTTTCCATCACCTGAAGTTACACTGTTGCCTTGAATGAGTTGCAAAGCTTCTTTGTTTCCAACAATATGCTGTAGTCTTGTGATATCAATAATGCAAATCCCAAGCGAAGTCTCAAGCATGACCTTCAAGGTCATAGTCACATTCTCATAGTCTGCAAGTCAATTGCTTATTTACAGTGGTGGAAAAAGTCCTCAATTGTCATACTTGAGTAAAAGTAAAGACACCTTAATAGAAAATTACTAAAGTGAAAGTCACCCAGTGAAATACTACTTGAGTAAATGTCTAAAAGTATTGGGTTTTAAATATACTTAAGTATCAAAAGTAAATGTAATTGTTAAAATATACTTAAAAGTATTAATAATTTCAAATTCCTTATATTAAGAAAACTAGATGGTACCATTTTCTTGTCTTTTAAGTATACGGATAGCCAGCGGCACACTCCAACACTCAGACATAATTTACAAACAAAGCATCTGTGTTTAGTGAGTCCGCCAGATCAGAGGCAGTAGGGATGACCAGGGATGAGGAGTATTTCTGTCTGTAATAAAGCCCTTTTGTGGGGAAAAAACTCATTCTGATTGGCTGGGCCTAGCTCCCAAGTGGGTGGACCTATGCCCTCCAAGGTCCACCCGTGGCTGCGCACTTGCCCAGTCATGTGAAATCCATAGATTAGGACCTAATGAATTTATTGACTGATTTCCTTATATGAACTTTAACTCTGTAAAATCTTTGAAATTATTGCATGTTGAGTTTATATTTTTGTTCAGTGTACTTAACTGTAATATCACACTAGGTCTATTCTTTGGAACAATATAGGCTCAATGACTTGAGGGAAGGTGTGTGCTTTTTTTGTTTGTCTCTGGAAGGTTCTTTGTGCTATTTAGGGGTAACTCAAATGTGAGTACTATACATCTACAGACAACTATTATGGTAATTTCTCATGGTCTGCATAAAGACTTTTGTGGCCAGCCAGTGCATACCAGAAAATCTGTTTATTATTCTGAGTCAGCCTGTCTAAATCTTTGAAAAAAGGGTTCCAAAAGGGTTCTTCGGCTGTCCTCATAGGTTCCACGTAAAACCCCATTTTGGTTCTAGGTAGAACCATTTTGGGTTCCATGTAGAACCCTCCATGGAAAGGGTTCTACATGGAACCCAACAATGATTCTTCAAAGGGTTCTCCTATGAGGACAGCCGAAGAACCCTTTAAGCCCTTTTTCTAAGAGTGTACTGTAGGCCTATCTTCAAGCATATCTACTCATGTGAGCATTTAAAAAGGCCTTCTCTGAGGTGTGGTCCATGAACATGCTTCAGTTTAACTGTCCATGAATTCCATGCATGCTAGGAATTAGGCCAAGCCACATCTATTATGAAATTGAGAGCAAACAAATGTAGAGCTTCAAAAAGTTGACATTTCCTAAGCCCAATGAGTCTCTTTCAATTATACTGAACAAAAATATAAACGCAACATCCAACAATTTCAACGATTTTACCGAGTTAAAGTTCATATAAGGAAATCAGTCAAGTGAAATAAATTAATTAGGCCCTAATCTATGGATTTGACATGACTGAGCAAGGGCACAGCCAATAATTCTGATTGGCTGAGCATGGCTCCCCAGTGGGTGGGCCTGGCTACCCAGTGGGTGGGCATGGCTCCCAAGTGGGTGGGCCTGGGAAGGCAAAGACTCAATCAGAATGGGTTTTCCCCCACAAAAGGGCTTTATTACAGACAGAAATACTCGTCAGTTTCTTCAGCTGTCCGGGTGGCTGGTCTCAGACGTTCCCGCAGGTGAAGAATCCGGATGTGGAGGTACTGGGCTGGCGTGGTTACACATTGTCTGCGATTGTGAGGCCGGTTGGATGTACTGCAAAATTCTCTAAAATGACATTGGAGGTGGCTTATGGTAGAGAACTTAACATTAAAGTCTCTGTCAACAGCTCTGGTGGACATTCCTGCAGTCAGCATGCCAATGCCACACACCCTCAAAACTTAAGAATTCTGTGGCATTGTGTTGTGTGACAAAACTGCACATTTTATAGTGGCCTCTTATTGTCCCCAGCACAAGGTGCACCTATGTAATGATCATGCTGTTTAATCAGCTTCTTGATATGCCACACCTGTCAGGTGGATGGATTATCTTGGCAAAGCAGAAATGCTCACTAAGAGGGATGTAAACAAATGTGTGCACAAAATGTGAGAGATATAAGCTTTTTGTGCGTGCCAAAAGGATCCACAAACAAAACAATAGCAAAAATGCTATGTATATGCAAATGTACTTTATTAAACAGTAACATCATTGACGCAACCAGATTTAAAGCAAGCCTAATTTCCTAGAAAAATAATTGGCACTCATCTCTGCAAGTGGGTAGCACTGGTACTGGGCACAAACAGATAGAGACCTACTCCACCAAGACACACAGTACTCAATATACAGCCAAATTACAATGCAAGGTGATCTATTCTGGTTGAATTTATACATATTGAGGCATATTGGATATCATATAATATTGATGTACGATAAGAGGACTAGGGCCACATGGACTTTAGGCTCTCTTCCCAGGAATGATGGGTCTGTTCTTGAAGTCGTCGCTCTGGAGGTAAATATGCAGGTTGGGCCGGGCACACAGCCTCTTCAGGTAGCTCTGGAGGGAGGGGAAGGCATCCAGGCAGAGGGGGTGAGGACTTGGTGGTGGATCAGTAGGAGCACCAGGGCGTAGTCGGCTAAGGAGATCTGCCAGAGAAAGAAAGACAGCATGAGTACATGAGAAGTCCAGGTCCAAAACAACCCCTACCCCCTACCCCCATGTACAGTATATGCCAGTTGATGTCTTTGATAATTTGATAACATAAATAAATGTTCCTTGTCGCCAACCAGAAATCTTCCTTTATTGCTGGACAGGGTTTTCTCGAAAGGCTTGAGATCTGTTGGCAGTGCCTTAAGGTACCCCTCTTTACCGGAGTCCTGGGGAACCATTTTTAATCATTTTGGGTCTCAATTCAATCAAACTTGCATTGCAGTTACAGTAGGTAAGTAGCTCTTTTTCCTACAGTCAATACTATATACTACTAAACTATACTATGATATAGATATAGTATCTTAATTTGATCACTGTTGTCGCAGTGAATGTTCCTGCTCTGCAGGAAACTCAAAGTGCCCTAGTAGTAACATAAAGTTATTTTTATCTCACTAGATCTCAAACACAAACAAAAGCCTACTGTAGGATATACATACTAATTTCTGTTTTTAAAAAATCACTTTTTGGAGAATAATCAAATCCTCCTGCTGCAGGATTGTTTTACTCCTGTGACAAAACTGGTCAAATTAAGATCCAGCAACAGACCTATACTATGAGGGAGACCATGGGTTTAGATCAAATTGCCACCGTGGTTACATGTACCATACATTTCTGTATTTGTTTTGATCTTGGAGGGCTTCATCCATCATGTCAATGAGAGCAGCCTCCCTCTGGTCTTAGCCATAGACTCCTGGAGCAGAGGATTGATCAAGACATATTGGGTGAGTCAATATTAATCTCATTATGTTGCAAGCAGGCTTTTCTGTTCGTCCTCCATTTACCAAGTTTCTGTGCGAAATGTCTCCTTATTGCATTGGTCTGGTACAAAGTGAGGTCACCGTCTTCAAATATACCAAACAACTGTGAATGAAAAGTAAAGGAAAAATTATCAACAATTCACTTCTAATCCTCTGTCAAAAATCATAACTGTGATTCATCACCTCCTCAATCGCCTAGCATCTAAACATCATGATTCAAATTCATGATTCTGTGATGACATTTTGGTAACACCTCATATGAATACCCTCTTCATAATGCATTAACAACACCTTGTGAGCTATGCATAATGCACAGAACGTGCTTTTTATAAAGACAGTATTTGTAGTAGGTGTGTTTTCTATTGATATGTTTGTCAAGTTCCGTTTGTCTGATCTTGCATCCAACCTCCCCATATGGAGCTTGTTAAGGGCTCTCTACGTCTCTGTAAGGCCCACATGGGTATTGTTGCTTAGAAGCCCGGGATGCCAGTGTCATGTTTGCTTAGTTGCTATCTAAACTGCCTTGTTAGGAGAACATTGTCAATGGTGTTTCAGTAAACATTCAGCCAATTCCCACAAAAATATGTCAGGGCAAGTCGAAAAAGCCCTTGGAGTGAATCAAAGCCTGCATGCACCATATGGGGTGTTCTGTATAGCTGATGCAGCATTTTTACAGTGAATAGCGAACACATAGTGCTAATAAAACTCACTGTCATATGTCAAAATGACTGTTTTCCGATAGGTAAACATTTTGACTATAAGTTGGTCCTAGAGTGTCACTGGTGTAGAGAGGAGTAGGCAGGAGGCAGTCGCAGGTTTTGAACTACTGAATTTATTTAAGCACCATAGATCAAAGCGGGACGAAACCCAAACGCTGTTGTGCTCAAAAAATATCTTCATAAACTAAAAGGCATAGGGGTAACCCAAAGTGCAAAATATTAAGTACTGCGAAAATAGTACGTGAGATACCTCTCAGGAAAACAAGTAACAAATACAATGACCGACAAAGACAAATGGCAGAGGGAGTATATATACAGTGATAGAGTGGGGATTGGAACCAGGTGTGTGTAATGATGACGAGACAAGTCCGGGGTTGATGAGTGAAGGGCGTTTGCCAGCAGTAGGTTCGGCAGCAGCTAAAAAAGCCAGCGACGCCGAACACCTGAGCTGGACAGGAGGGGGAGCCAAAGCGAAGGCTGGTGTGACATAGAGACCTTGTGTAAAACAGCAACATTCATTTGATTGATATTAAGAGAACACATAAGGATACACATTTAGTCACTTTTTGAAAGTCAAAATGTTGAGAAGGTTACTCCCTCCCCAGATACTGTTACGTGAATTATTTATCAAACTATTTCAGTGTCTCTGTGCGTCTCCCAAAAGGTTGTAAGTCTTTTGGGATTTAAATAACGGACAGAGTCTCGATCTGCATATTCAGAGATTTATTCATTGAGAATTCTGCCATCACAATTTCGGAGTCCATCTTTTATACTCATACATCATACAAAAAAATCCCTCCCCTCTGTAGGCGGGCTGTAGTTCTCCACTCTAAAACTGCTCTCCTGACCATCAGTTCACACACACACACATACACACACATGCATACACACATACATACACACACACACATGCATACACACACTCATCATAGCCTACTCCCTGCATTACTCAGTTATTGCCGTTCTCACAATATTCTGCACCATGTTTTCATAACAGTTTCTCTACTCCCTAAATTCCTCAGTTATCAGTTGCCTTTGTTGTCTGGCCTAACTCTTACTCACATTGCTAAATAGAGGCTCAATGCCATAGCCTTTACTGCTCCTACACTCACACATTTCTAACACATTACACACAGTTTCAGGGTGTAATAATTAGTCATTAATAATTAATCTATCAGATACCCCTGAATTAATTAAGACATTTTTGTCTGCATGTAAAAGTGATGTGAAATGCAATGTACACTGGTTACCGGGTTACTCACACAGCTGGCTTTGAGAGTGCCCTCCATCCACATCTCCATGGTGACGACCTTCTCATCAAACTCTGCCCCTTGGTCTTTGAGGATCACTCGGATGACCTCAGCACAACCTGTTATAGCACAGACCATAGAGATCCTATTAAATTATAGTGTATTCTAATTCCTAATTCTATGGCACAGGAAAAAAAAATGGCATTTTGACACTGCATTGTTCTTAGCCCCGGGCAAAGGAGGCTCTTAGCCCTGAGCTAAGGTGCAGTGTGAATGCGCTTAATCTCTGCCAAATGAAACCATACTAGAGCCTACTTCCTGCGTGCCAGGATGTCTGGTTCTTACAACAAGGTTACAAAGAGAGTTTAGGGCAAAATACAATTTACTGTTTAATAAGCAAACTCTATATCAATAATTGTTTCTGTGTTGTTTAAAAGAAAAGGTATATCAATATATTTAAAAAAACACAGGTAAATCACGTTATTGACTGCATTGGGCCTTTAAAAAGTATACTTCAATAGCCAGGTTTGGCATGACAATTCAATAAGGTGTTGGCAAGAGAGCAGAAACAGACTGACAGCCAGGCTAAATGTTCGCTACAGTATTTTGCACTTCAATAGCTGTCCATTCTTAAAACTGAAAAGTTCAACATTGATGTAACATTGATCAGGTCAACATACAGTACCAGTCTAAAGTTTGGACACACCTACTCATTCATGGGTTTTTCTTTCTTTTTTACTATTTTTCACATTGTATAATAATAGTGAAGACATAAAAACTATGAAATAACACATATGGAATCATGTAGTAACCAAAAAAAGTGTTAAACAAATCAAAATATATTTTACATTTGAGATTCTTCAAATAGCCACCCATTGCCTTGATGACAGCTTTGCAAACTCTTGGCATTCTCTCAACCAGAACTGTAACTTAGTCAAATCTTTGACATTTTTGCATGTTGCGTTTATATTTTTGTTCAGTGTATATACAGGTATCTGATTATATTTTTGAATGGAAGCAACATTTACTGACATACAGCTTATTTAACTACATTTACTTTGGTGAAAGGTCATGGTAATACTTTGTCTGAGCAATATGGTCAATTACATAAAGTTATGGATTTTTAGGTCACAATTCAATCAATTGCAAAAACTGCACTGATGTTTCATTCAAAATGTTTACACTGTAATTTCAGGACAGGTGTAGTTTAGCATTATCAGCTTGCAGATAAAGGAAAACCACGTTGTGGGTTCATTCAGAATATTTATGCTGTATTGGACATGTTAAAGTACCTGCGCAGTGCTTCCAGATTTCTATTAAATATGACCTATAGTTACTTACAATATGAGTAAAATAGTTTTACTTCCAAAACAGTTTAAGGAAGTATGTTTAAAATCAGCTTTTCTGTGTTGGAATGGTGTGGGCGTACCCCAACAACAGAATGGTGTGGGCATATACTGGTCATTAAAAATATGAACGCAAGTAGACCGCTGATTGGCCAGCTCATCCTCCTCTAGACCGCTGATTGGCCAGCCCATCCTCCTCATGGATATGACATCATGTTCTATGAGGAAATAGCAAGCATTTTTTAAACAGTCTGTTTGAGATACAAGTTTGAGGTGGGTTTTTTAAAGGTTTTTTTTCTACAATTTATGCTTTGCCACAAATACGAGTATAGGACGATTCAACAACATTATTTGGGTATGAGTTAACAGAATATGAACTTTTAAAAGTGTGATTTTCACTGGGTAGTTACTTTAACCACATTAAAATGCCCAAATCTATTCCGCTTCTTCTTCCTCTTCTTCCCTTGCAGACATTGTTATTGGATATTGACGTGAAACCACAACTATCCTTAAAATACAGCGTAAACAGTCTGAGTGAACTGTCAGTGTAGTTTGTTATATCTGCAACTGATTGAATTGGGACCTAAGTGCGAGAAATCCCAATCGTCTATAGCGCACTACTGCCCTCTAGCTTGGAAAGACTATTTGCAAGGATCCCACTGGGTGCCAGTGAACGTATGTGTCTTGAATGTTTCCCTCATGGTGACGCTCTCCTACCAGGTTTATACTCGATATAAGGGCTTTGCTACCTAATATCTTAGTATTACATTTACTCATGACAAAACATGATTGTAATAAAACATGAATTCTTTTGGATTTGCATTACACAATGTTTGTTTTCTCATCTCCTTTTGTTTGTGTTAAAAGAGGAGGAGAGTGTACTTTGACTCCAAAGGTTGCCATTTTACTTTGTGCTTATGTTCACTTGACTCTACGGAGTGCTTTGCCTGGTCCCAAATCTATCTAATACCTTAGTATTACATTTACTCATGACAAAACATACAACAAAATCAATCCAACTCTGCTTTTTTCCAAAGGCATTTTATATAGAAAACAGGTTAAAAATATGCATCACCATATCGTTTCTAGATCATCTCATTGTATAATTATGTAATTATAACCATCAAAATAAAGTCATACATATGGATATATGAAAATGCATAGCTTAAATAAATAAAAAAGACCCTAATGTTACCAAAAAATTATGATGCAAGCTTTTCCCCACAAATTGTTGGTGCATCTATCCAAAACTAGTGGAGCGGCCTACAACAAAGCACTCTTTGATAATATTGCACATATGAAATATTACATACTATATATATGAGATACAGTGGGGGAAAAAAGTATTTAGTCAGCCACCAATTGTGCAAGTTCTCCCACTTAAAAAGATGAGAGAGGCCTGTAATTTTCATCATAGGTACACGTCAACTATGACAGACAAAATGAGATTTTTTTTCTCCAGAAAATCACATTGTAGGATTTTTTATGAATTTATTTGCAAATTATGGTGGAAAATAAGTATTTGGTCAATAACAAAAGTTTCTCAATACTTTGTTATATACCCTTTGTTGGCAATGACACAGGTCAAACGTTTTCTGTAAGTCTTCACAAGGTTTTCACACACTGTTGCTGGTATTTTGGCCCATTCCTCCATGCAGATCTCCTCTAGAGCAGTGATGTTTTGGGGCTGTCGCTGGGCAACACGGACTTTCAACTCCCTCCAAAGATTTTCTATGGGGTTGAGATCTGGAGACTGGCTAGGCCACTCCAGGACCTTGAAATGCTTCTTACGAAGCCACTCCTTCGTTGCCCGGGCGGTGTGTTTGGGATCATTGTCATGCTGAAAGACCCAGCCACGTTTCATCTTCAATGCCCTTGCTGATGGAAGGAGGTTTTCACTCAAAATCTCACGATACATGGCCCCATTCATTCTTTCCTTTACACGGATCAGTCGTCCTGGTCCCTTTGCAGAAAAACAGCCCCAAAGCATGATGTTTCCACCCCCATGCTTCACAGTAGGTATGGTGTTCTTTGGATGCAACTCAGCATTCTTTGTCCTCCAAACACGACGAGTTGAGTTTTTACCAAAAAGTTCTATTTTGGTTTCATCTGACCATATGACATTCTCCCAATCCTCTTCTGGATCATCCAAATGCACTCTAGCAAACTTCAGACAGGCCTGGACATGTACTGGCTTAAGCAGGGGGACACGTCTTGCACTGCAGGATTTGAGTCCTTGGCGGCGTAGTGTGTTACTGATGGTAGGCTTTGTTACTTTGGTCCCAGCTCTCTGCAGGTCATTCACTAGGTCCCCCCGTGTGGTTCTGGGATTTTTGCTCACCGTTCTTGTGATCATTTTGACCCCACGGGGTGAGATCTTGCGTGGAGCCCCAGATCGAGGGAGATTATCAGTGATCTTTTATGTCTTCCATTTCCTAATAATTGCTCCCACAGTTGATTTCTTCAAACCAAGCTGCTTACCTATTGCAGATTCAGTCTTCCCAGCCTGGTGCAGGTCTACAATTTTGTTTCTGGTGTCCTTTGACAGCTCTTTGGTCTTGGCCATAGTGGAGTTTGGAGTGTGACTGTTTGAGGTTGTGGACAGGTGTCTTTTATACTGATAACAAGTGCAAACAGGTGCCATTAATACAGGTAACGAGTGGAGGACAGAGGACCCTCTTAAAGAAGAAGTTACAGGTCTGTGAGAGCCAGAAATCTTGCTTGTTTGTAGGTGACCAAATACTTATTTTCCACCATAATTTGCAAATAAATTCATTAAAAATCCTACAATGTGATTTTCAGGATTTTTTTTTCTCAATTTGTCTGTCATAGTTGACGTGTACCTATGATGAAAATTACAGGCCTCTCTCATCTTTTTAAGTGGGAGAACTTGCACAATTGGTGGCTGACTGAACACTTTTTTTCCCCACTGTATATTGTATGAGGTTTTCCATTGCTTATCTCAAGCCTTCTTTATAATGCAGCAGCTATGGATTTTCATATATGCATACAAATATTTGCTATTTCTTTTGTCCTCAAAAATAGATTGAAAAGAGAACACTATAACTGAAATGTTACAGTTATTGAGCTAGAATAAACATTATTTACAGTGTCTAAGGACATCCTAAGGAAAGTCTTCCTATCAAATACAATATGTAATCAAATGTATGTTTCTGTTCCCTAGTATAATTACAAAATGGTTATCGGACAAAGGGAATGAAATATCCTGCATAGGTCATTAAGGAAATCTAAAGATATTTATCATACCAATAAATGCTTAAGTGCAGGTGTAAACCAAGCCTGGCCCCGGAGAGGCAATATTCCACTTTCTATCCACAATTTTACACCAGGGTTACGCTACACAGAGAAAATAGGTTGACCCACACAAGGACCTCTATCAATAAGGTGGCAATGTATTCGACATAGCCTTGTATGGTGTATTTGACATTTGCAGTACAAGGAATTTTAAATGGAATAACGAGACCCACATATAAGTATGTGTTATATCATAGAATATAAGAGGCATGTTATATTGAATTTTTAACATTTGACCTGAATGCTCAACCTAGTCCCATCTAAGATGGAATGTCAACTACTGTATGTCGGAACAATAATACTATATCTGGTTTTTTTGCATTGGATGCATTTCAATCCACCGCATCCGCCGATGTCGCACTTCCGCATCTGCGGTGAAAGGTGGCAGAGCTAGAGCGGCGAGACATCCCGAAAATCCGTCTTCTCACGAAAACGTCTGTAGTGGCCAATGGTTTGACCTACTTGTCTATGAGAGTTTGCTTATCACTCTATGGAAAGGAGAGACTCTCACGAACACGACGTGGTCTCTGTTTTGCTCTATGAACCCCACAAGTGTCAGGGGACTCGTCTGAAGTTGGTTCTGTCAATGTGCCAACTTCTATTTGTAGCATCCAAACCGTTTGGGCTACAAACTAATGTGACCCCAGTGTGGAAAGAGGAGATTCTCACGAACACTATGGTGTTCTCTGTTTTGCTCTATGACACAAGGGTCACGGGATTTGTCTGAATGTAACCGGTACCAGTTTTACAAACAAATTGAAGTATGAAGGTAGTTTTGTACCTTCCCAAAAAAGGGGTTAAATATGTGTAAAAAATATATAGAAATATATATTTCCTGAGCTTTCTTACTTCTCCTAGATATAGAACAAACACTTCAAAACCTTGTTTCTTATTATTTAATTTTTGACTGTCTTTTTGGCCATTTATGAATGTGTTATTCAATGTGTTTCTCTGGACTATAGTAGTAAAGGCCAAATTCAATATTTTATCAAATAATTTTGGGGGATACCTAAAGGGGTCCTAAAATTCAAAATCAAATAGCTAAATGATCCATAGTATGACCATCTTAAAACAATTCCATATGTCAGCTTAGAACCCCCCCCCCCCCCCACACCCCCCTCAATATTTAATATGCAAACTGACCCAAGATCAGTGTCTAAGGGCAGCCTCTCCCTACAACAGAATAGTGAGGCAATCCTTTTTGCTATTGCCTTGTGCTTTTTGTCTGTTTAAACTACCTTCATGCAATAAAACACATTATCTTTTCCAAAACAACCTGGCCAGTGAGTTGCTGTGTAGTGTGTGGGGAAATGCTGGGATGTTGGCTGCTTTATTACACACTCTCCTCTCTTGCATCTCTTGAACTGTGGTGTGGCGGTGGGGTCACTTGTAGGGCAAGCGTGTAGTAGGGCCTAGGTTCAGTTTGTCACTCAGTTTCTGGATAAGCAAGGACAGCTCCTCTGTAGCCTGAGACTTGTCTTCCAGGAGTTCGTAACGTAAACTGGAGATGTCCTGCTTGATTTCTTTCAGTTCACCTGCAAAGTAACAATGTGAGGTCATAACAGAAATAATGTGAGGTCCGTTCAAGTTGTTTGTATTGAAGAATTCTGTTAAAGGGTTCTCAAATGCAATATTTACTGAAATATTCAATGCATGACAATGTTAAACTGATGTCCTCTCCATAATTCAATATATTTTTATATACACAATGCAGTTAGCACGGTTTATTTGAGCTTCAAACACCAATGGGAACCCTGTGGAATTTGCACAGTTTCTAGACCTCTTTCTACCCTTGAGAATTGTTTCTTTTCTGCATTGTGTAACAGCACTGCAAACGATTCTCAAAGACTATTTCAGATGAAGTACTTCAAAGTAAAAGTGAAGATGTAACTTTACCTTCATTGACCTCGTCGTTTTCTTTGTCCACTTGTGCTTTCAAAACGTAGCGTTTGATGAGTCGCTTCATGATTTGCTGTAAAAAGGAAGGAAAATATGAAAAATGTAGGCCTATATGCTATTACGTTAAAGGGAGGCTAAACTTCTTGATTTGGCCTTGTTTTTCAGCTTGGTCATTAAGAAATGCAGCGGCCATGACTGAAGCCAAACGAGAGTTGTCTTGGAGGGGTGGTTTATTGTGGGTGTTCGCAAGTGGCAAGTGTTTGTACATTCACTCTGCCAAAACAGTAAACCGTTACAGTCGCTCACCCTTCTAGATAACTTGAAACAGTTTAACCAGGACCCGGTCTCCCAAAAGCATCTTAAGGCTAAGTTCATCATTAGAACCTTAGTATGAGCATCGTTAAATCTCTAATCTGTTTCCCAAAACCATCATAATTAACGTTGCACTTGAAAATGCTTGTAATCTGCCTGCCTCAGACCACTTGTAGTACAGCTAAGTGCGTGGTTAGATGATTTTTTGGGCAACTTCTTTTGCAATATAGCTTCACCTGCCTGGTGTGCAACTGTGGCAAAATTGGATTGACAATGGGTAGCCTATCTCTGGGGCTAGCTAGGAACCGTCAATAAATTACACAATGTAAATGGGACAGTATTTTCATGTTGTACATCTTTTAGTTGTCTCATTAAATGCTTTCAATATTTGTATATGAATTTCTGCAATTTATAATTGGTTTGAGGTTTTTAAGTCATTGAAATTTGGAGCTATTCACATTTTTTAAATATTGTCCTATGTACATTGAGGTAATTTACTGATGGTCCCTAACTAGCCCCATTGGGATATCGAATGTCAAACCAAATTGACCATGGGCATTACGATCAGGTACCGTGCAGCTGTGCTCCAAATTGATGATGTCCCGTGTGGCTCAGTTGGTAGAGCATGGCACTTGTAACGTCAGGGTTGTGGGTTTGATTCCCACGGGGGACCAATATGAAAATGTATGCACTGACTACTGTAAGTCGCTCTGGATAAGACCATCTGCTAAAATGTAAATGATTACGTGTGCATGTGAGCAGGATTGAAATAAACCCAACCCAAGGAAAACTGTTATGGTACCCTTCATTTCGTGACATACCTATCATCTCGCAAATCTCAGTTTTGGACAAGACTGACTTTATGACCAAAATTATCCTATTTATACTCTGTAGTCAATTTTGACATTAGAATAAATGTTTCTGACTCATATCGATGCCACATAGGGCTTTTTCAAAATGATAAGTTGCTTTTTAGGGGCAGTCGATCTTTAATGTGACATTTTGGCTAAACATTATATTTAGACTGACGGAGAGGCCACCTTACCTGATAGCAAGTGGGTTGGTTCAGGATGCGGTGGGACTCTGCAATGCGCAGGTTGGACTGGGTGAAGAGATTGAGCTGCAAACCCCAGACAAACACAAACAAAAGCACATTTGGATATTTTATCTGAATACTCAATTAACCATTATAAAAATAAGGACCAATGATCAATGAGAGTCTTAACCAGGGGTTGGAACCGGTTCAGGGAACAGAACAGAAAACCGGAAAATAACTAAATCTTTCAAGGAACAGATATGGAACCTGGAACGAAAGTGATCCATACTGTTCTGGAACAGAACCGTTATTTAAAAATCATGGGAACCAGTTAATAACGTCCTTTTACATTCCAGGCATTTTTTTCTATTCCCACAACAAAACGCAACAAAGCACCTATGCAAAGCCCTACTCACTCAGAAACGTATTCCAGTGTCTGCCTGCAAGCTGAAAATCTTTGCCTGTGAGTGTGCATGTTTAAGTTACCTGCAGCCCTCCCCCCTCCTAAACATAGACTACTGTACTGACGTTACAAGCTTGATTCAGAAGATAGGGAGGGAGATTTTTAATTGGCTAGAGAAGAATGGATCAACTTTTTCAATGCTAGTTAAGGATACTATAGCCTAGTTAAACGTTTCACGTTGGATTTATTAACTACAAAAAGGTAAGACGTGTTTTTAATTCTGGTGCCGCTCTGCACACACAAGCCTGTTAGCTAGCTAGCTCAAGCTTGTTAGCTAGCTAGCTCAAAGGACATTCAAAGCTCCTCCATAGAAGCCGCTCCTCCTTGGTATAATTCTGTGGACCTAATTCAGATAATGCATGTCATAACAAGATGCCAAGTGCTTCAAGCCTCCTGCTCAACTCTCTCTCCACCTGCAAAATGTCTCTCTTGCCCTCTCCCCACCCGCAAAATTTCAGTAGCATCTTGCGCCATAGGCTACACTTGTCTGTCCATCACACATGTAAACAACTAGCTTGCCTGCTCTCTCCGCACTGATTGGTGAAGTCATTTAATGTACTAAATGTAAAAAACTGTTGATTTCACAGGTTAAAAAGGAACAGAAAGGAACAATATCAACTTGATCAAACCGGTTCAGAACTTTATTTTGCTGGTAGGAACAGTGGTACGAAACAAAATAAATAGTGTTTCTGTTCAGAACAAAACAATTGGAAAATAATTTTGCTTCCAACCCCTGGTTTTAACACTTGCAAGCACACACGCCCGTACATTTACACACACACACACGCACAAATACGTTTTGGGAGATCAAAAAGCTAATACTACATTGTTTCACATCATACCTGGAACATTGTCAAAATACCAGGGTCTCAACTGGCCCTGTCACTGCTCTGATGAAGGCCGTGCATTAGCTGTCAGTGTCTTATGGCTAAAGAGCTTGGAGAGGCTTCACTTACCAAGTATAGTTCGATAGTGTGGTAAAAAAAAAAATATTTGACCAAAGCCATCTGGCCTCAAGTGCACAGTGAGCCTTATTAGTCATCAGTCGTGGCTTCTTCTACCCACTACCCAGCCACTCTTAGATTCCCTACAGGCTAACAGGGGGTCTACCCAAAGACATTCTTGGCCCCCCACCTCACCTATCAATCTGCTGCAGGTAGATAATGGAAGAAATACATTGAGTTCAGGGTAACAGAAGCGGTCTCAACCCATTTTGTTTCTAGCCCCCCCCAAATTTTTTTTTTATAAATACATTTTAGTCATTTAGCAGACGCTCTTATCCAGAGCGACTTACAGTTAGTGAATACATATTTTTTTTATACTGCCCCCCCGTGGGAATCGAACCCACAACCCTGGCGTTGCAAACACCATGCTCTATCAACTGAGCTACATCCCTGCTGGCCATTCCCTCCCCTACCCTGGACGACGCTGGGCCAATTGTGCGCCGCCCATGAGTCTCCCGGTCGCGGCCGGGAGACTCATGTCCAAACAACAAGGGATTCGAACCAGGATCTCTAGTGGCACAGTTAGCACTGCGATGCAGTGCCTTAGACCACTGCGCCACTCAGGAGTACAAATAAATAGCATGTGTCTGACCAAAAACCAATGGAATTCAATGTACCCCATATTTGCATGTTTTAAAACCAAAAACAACATAACACACTATAGACCCCTTTCTGTGTTTGCAAACATTGCCACACGAGGGCGATGCGTGCAAGTTGGTGGCAGAACACAGGGGAGTTCTTATAGCACGGCAGCAAAAAAAGCCTCTATTTACATGTTGCTTATGAGTGCATTTCACACTACTTTTGGATTATAATTGGATTTTAAAGCTCGTATAAATGTCCTGCTTAATATAATGTTTGTGTCATCATCACAAATCAACTGCATTATACTTGAAAAACACTTCAACTTCAACTAGTAAAATGGCTCTTTGGCTAGCTTTTGCTGCAGCCTAATGTACGTAAATTAGCGTTAGCATTCTAGCTAACAACTGCTGCATCCAAAATAGTTATTTTGCAAAGGTCACAACCAAATATAATCTTAGTGACTGTTCAAGCAAGAACCAAAACATCATTGTAAGCGTATGAGAACCCAAAAAAGTTATTTTGTTTAGAAATAATAAAAATGTAAATCTAGGCTGTGTTGAATGGGCTCAGATGGCGATGGCTTTCTTACTGCAACCAAGAGTCGCGCGCATCTCTGCGTGACGTCAGTGTGTCGTGTAATGGAAAGGGGTCTATATTACTATGAATGTTTCTGGTAAAGAAAACATTGTAGACCAACTGCAACGGGTCTTCCTTGTGGCTTGCCTATTGAGATAACAATGCCGCAACATTTCCAGTCCAGTTGTCAGATTGCCATTTGAAATAGGCCTCAGAGGAGAAATCTATGTGGTCAAATGTAGTTAATGTAAAGAGAAAACAAGAGACAAAGAGAGAGAGAGGGACAGAGAGAGAGACAGCAAGAGAGACAGCAAGAGAGACAGAGAGAGAGGGCGACAGACGACACAGAGAGAAAGAAAGTGACCTTGGCCACACGAATCATCTTGATACTGTTATTCTATATATGCCATGGGGGCCTACTGATTGAAGTTTTAAGTAAATTATTTCCTCCAAGGGATCAAATTAGAGAGAGGCATCAAACTACATTGGTTCAAACTTGTCTTAAATGGGAATTTCCAGAGAACAGTCATCTCCATACATATAAATATGATACATGTTTCAGTTGCCATTTTCAAGTAGGACTTGAATAATAGTCCATGTGCTCTTATTAGACTCTAGTACTCCAGATGCATCAATAAATAGCCTATATGCATCTCTTTAGGTGGATAGCGTACATCATTATTTTCAATGTAAATATGGCGAGCCACAGACATAATGCAAATGCCATTGATCCTCTCTAGGGTCAAAAAGATGGGAGTGCAAATTATGACAATACAGAGACAACATTGCATTGGGAAATCCTATACGGATATTACAATGGACAAGGACAATCATAAACCCCTTAAACAGAGTTCACCCCATTAAATGTACGCCATGTTGTATCCGGCTGGAGCGGCTTTCCAGCGTTGCTCCTGTAGCCTATTCGGCTGGAGCGGCTCCGCCTCTGCTAAATTGTTGCCGCCACACCCCAAAAATATGGAACATGAAAAAAATAATCTGCCGAGGCGCACTTTGAAGATGCTAGAACTGTCCATGTTTACTTTTCCTCTGCCAACAAGACCAGTAAATCGGACAACCGCATAGTAGGCCTAGAATAGTCATTTACCTAGTTGGCTATATCAGCATGGTTTAGGCACATTAGCTCCCTGCAATTCGCTGTGAGTGCATAGGGGAGACCTAAATGTAACACGGGTCAATTGTAACAGGTAGGCCTACATTAAATTCACTGTGTTTATGCAAGTTTTTTGGGGGACATTAAAGTCATCAATACATTGCTTATATCAAGATCATGTTTAGAGTTTGGGATCTAGCTCATAATTAGCCGAATGGGGCATATGGGCAACCCCATGTTTCAGCCTAGCTTCGGGACTGCAACTACGATGGATGTTGTATACGGACGGCATCCTATTTGCACATCATTCCGTAGCCTGGCCTCTGAAAGTAATTACAGCCCTAATGTGTACAGTTACACCCCAAAGAACTTTACCGTCAACAAAGACATCATCTCTAGGAACACTACTTACCAACCGGCAGGGAAACCCAGAGTGGGTGAAAACGTGCTTTGGTGATGAAATTTCACTTCCTTATGGTATAAAATACATTTTACCAAGACAAATATAATTCTTCATGTTCTGAAACGTTCAGTGGAGTCTTTCTCTAACATATCATAAACAGTATATCCGATTTTGTAACCTATTACAGTGCTCCGTTGAAATTTTTCAGAGAAATCTTCTAAAAAGAACAGGAATTTAGCATTAATGTTAAAAGTGTATACTAAATTATGAAAATACTACATATCATGTCTCAAAATCGATATCTAATTTTGTCCAAACAACAAGGGTAAAAACTCCAATGACTTTTGAATAGATTGTGATAGAGACATGAGGGCCAACCATTGGTTTTCTTAACCGCTACGGGATCGGTGTCCCGTATACAGGACGGTTGAGCTAACGTGCGTTAATGTGATTAGCATGACTGTTGTAAGTAACAGCAAACTTTCCAGGACATAGACATGTCTTATATGGGCAGAAGGCATAAAATCTTGTTAATCTAACTGCACTGTCCAATTTACAGTAGCTATTACAGTGAACAAATACCATGCTATTGTTTGAGGAGAGTGCACAACAACAAAAAACTTATCACGGCAACTGGTTTGATACATTCACCTCTGAAGGTAAATAATGTACTTCCATTCAGTAATCTTGCTCTGATTTGTCATCCTAAGGGTCCCAGAGATAAAATGTAGCATAGTTTTGTTTGATAAAATAAATGTTTATATTCAAATGTAGGAACTGGGTTCTACAGTTTGAACCCCTGCTGTCTCTGGTTCCACACCCGGTTCCACATCCGGCCATCTAGATCTGTGAAAGTTAGTGTATAAGCTAATGATCCATCATGTATGACATTCCTGGGAGTGTGTAAACTTACATTTTGCATTACCATATCATTTTTGTATGTTCTCTATAGTTATGTACTTGTATGAATTGACCAATTCGGCACATTTGGGCAGACTTGATACAAAATAGTCCAGTATTGCAATGCTTCACTGGATCAATCTGAAACTTTGCACATACACTGCTGCCATCTATCACAGCCAAAATATATCACAGCCATTAATGTGTTCTATTCTCCTACATAAATTGCACCTAAACTGCAATATTTTATTGTGGCCTTTCTCTTGCATTTCAAAGATGATGAAAAACAAAAACAAAACAAAAACTTATTTTTTGGTTTGTATTATATTTTACCAGATCTAATGTGTTATATTATCCTACATTAATTTCACATTTCCACAAACTTCAAAGTGTTTCCTTTCAAATGGTATCAAGAATATACATATCCTCGCTTCAGGTCCTGAGCTACAAGCAGTTAGATTTGGGTATGTTATTTAATTGGGCACATACATACATACTTACATACATTACATACAGTGCCTTCAGAAGGTATTCACACCCCTTGACTTTTTACAGCCTGAATTTAAAATTTAGATTTGTTGTGTGACTGGCCTACACAATACCCCATCATGTCAAAGTGGATTGATGTTTTCTGATGAATAAAAAAAATATGTATTAAAAATGAAAAGCTGAAATGTTTTGAGTCAATAAGTATTCATCCACTTTGTTATGGCAGGCCTAAATAAGTTCAGGAGTAAGAATTTACTTAACAAGTCACATAATAAGTTGCATGGACTCACTCTGTGTGCAATAATAGTGTTTAGCATGATTTTTTAATGACTACCTCATCTCTGTACCCCACACATACAATTATCTGTAAGGTCCCTCAGTTGAGCAGTGAATTTCAAACACAGATTCAACCACAAAGACCAGGGAGGTTTTCCAATGCCTCGCAAGGAAGGGCATCTATTGGTAGATGGGGATGGGGGGGGGGGGGGGGGGGGGGGGGGGGGGACAGACATTGAATATCCCTTTGAGCATGGTGAAGTTATTAATTACACTTTGGATAGTGTATCAATACACCTACTCACTACAAAGATACAGGCGTCCTTCCTATAACTCAGTTGCCGGAAAGGAAGGACACTGCTGTACAGAATAAAAATATTCTACAACATGCATCCTGCTTCAAACAAGGCACTAAAGTAATACTGCAATTAACTTTTTGTCCTAAATGCAAAGTCTTATGTTTGGGGCAAATCCAATACAACACATTACTGAGGACCACTCTCCATATTATCAAGCATAGTGGTGGCTGCATCATGTTATGGGTATGCTTGTACTCGTTAAGGACTGGGGAGTTTTTCAGGATAAAAAAGAAATGGAATGGAGCTAAGCACAAGGAAAATCCTTCAGGAAAATCTGGTTCAGTCTGCTTTCCACCAGACACTGGGAGATGAATTCACCTTTCAGCAGGACAATAACCTAAAACACGAGGCCACATCTACATTGATGGAAAAAAGTATTTGATCCCCTGCTGATTTTGTACGTTTGCCCACTGACAAAGAAATGATCAGTCTATAATTTTAATGGTAGGTTTATTTGAACAGTGAGAGACAGAATAACAACAAAGAAATCCAGAAAAACGCATTTCAAAAATGTTATAAATTTATTTGCATTTTAATGAGGGAAATAAGTATTTGACCCCCTCTCAATCAGAAAGATTTCTGGCTCCCAGGTGTCTTTTATACAGGTAACGAGCAGAGATTAGGAGCACACTCTTAAAGGGAGTGCTCCTAATCTCAGCTTGTTACCTGTATAAAAGACACCTGTCCACAGAAGTAATCAATCAATCAGATTCCAAACTCTCCACCATGGCCAAGACCAAAGAGCTCTCCAAGGATGTCAGGGACAAGATTGTAGACCTACACAAGGCTGGAATGGGCTACAAGACCATCGCCAAGCAGCTTGGTGAGAAGGTCACAACAGTTGGTGTGATTATTCACAAATGAAAGAAACACAAAATAACTGTCAATCTCCCTCGGCCTGGGGCTCCATGCAAGATCTCACCTCGTGGTTGCAATGATCATGAGAACGGTGAGGAATCAGCCCAGAACTACACGGGAGGATATTGTCAATAATCTCAAGGCAGCTGGGACCATAGTCACCAAGAAAACAATTGGTAACACACTACGCCGTGAAGGACTGAAATCCTGCAGCGACCGCAAGGTCACCCTGCTCAAGAAAGCACATATACATGCCCATCTGAAGTTTGCCAATGAACATCTGAATGATTCAGAGGAGAACTGGGTGAAAGTGTTGTGGTCAGATGAGACCAAAATCAAGCTCTTTGGCATCAACTCAACTCGCCTTGTTTGGAGGAGGAGGAATGCTGCCTATGACCCCAAGAACACCATCCCCACCGTCAAACATGGAGGTGAAAACATTATGCTTTGGGGGTGTTTTTCTGCTAAGGGGACAGGACAACTTCACCGCATCAAAGGGACGATGGACGGGGCCATGTACCGTCAAATCTTGGATGAGAACCTCCTTCCCTCAGCCAGGGCATTGAAAATGGGTCGTGGATGGGTATTCCAGCATGACAATGACCCAAAACACACAGCCTATGCAACAAAGGAGTGGCTCAAGAAGAAGCACATTAAGGTCCTGAAGTGGCCTAGCCAGTCTCCAGACCTTAATCCCATAGAAAATGTGTGGAGGGAGCTGAAGGTTCGAGTTGCCAAACGTCAGCCTCGAAACCTTAATGACTTGGAGAAGATCTGCAAAGAGGAGTGGAACAAAATCCCTCCTGAGATGTGTGCAAACCTGGTGGCCAACTACAAGAAACGTCTAACCTCTGTGATTGCCAACAAGGGTTTTGCCACCAAGTACTAAGTCATGTTTTGCAGAGGGGTCAAATACTTATTTCCCTCATTAAAATGCAAATCAATTTATAACATTTTTGACATGCGTTTTTCTGGATTATTTTGTTGTTATTCTGTCTCTCACTGTTCAAATAAACCTACCATTAAAATTATAGACTGATCATGTCTTTGTCAGTGGGCAAACGTACAAAATCAGCAGGGGATCAAATACTTTTTTCCCTCACTGTACACTGGAGTTGCTTACCAAGAAGACAGTGAATGTTCCTGAGTAGCCGAGTTACAGTTTTAACTTAAATCTGCTTGAAAATTTGTAGCAAGACCTGAAAATGGTCTAGCAAAGATCAACAACCAATTTGACAGAGCTTGAAGAATTTTGAAAATAATAATGGGCAAATGTTGCACAAGAGACTTACCCAGAAAGATTCACAGCTGTAATCGCTGCCAAAAGTGCTTCAACAAAGTATTGACTCAGGGGTGTGAATACTTATGTAAATGTGTTATTTTTGTGTTTAATTTTCAATGAATGTACTAACATTTCTAAAAACATGTTTCACTTTGTCAATATGGTTTATTGTGTGTAGATGAGTTAAAAGAAAAACATATTTAATCCATTTAGAATTCAGCCTGTAACAACAAAATGTGGAATAAGTCAAGGCATATGAATACATTCTGAAGGCACTGTACATACATACACACACACACACACTCATCCATCCATCCATCCATACCCTGGGCTTTGAACTGTCCATCCCCAGCTCTACATCCTTCTTCACACTCCGTTTTCTGCAATGCAGCATGCCGACTATCCACCTGATGTGGTGGTAGAAGGACTTGGGAGTGGGAACGATGCTGAAGGGAGGAGGCAGTGTCTTGCCGTTGTCAAAGTAGGACAGCCACAGCTTGGAGCGTGCAAACTTCCACTCCACGTCTGCATCATCCTGAGAGATAAGCAGAGTTATTTCTCTCTCTGAGCAAACACCCCCTTAAGAGATTGACTTAGAGACGCTAGCTCAGTTAATGTTACAAACACACATTATCAACCTATTTGAACTAATGATAACCTATTCACTTCCTTTGCTGTAGGCCTAATCTATGAGACATCAATAGATTGTGACTTTTAGATAACAGCATTTGCCTAATACTGCCATTTAAAGGTCACACACTAATTGTTGTCTCTGATAGGAAATTACAGCAGAGGCCTCATGTCACCTGTTGTTGCTTGTTTAGTGGATTAGCAAAGGAAATTCCCACAACACATAACATTATTGATTAAAGCAATATATATACACAGTACCAGTCAAAAGTTTGGACACACTTACTCACTCAAGGCGTTTCTTTATTTTTACATTGTAGAATAATAGTGAGGACATCAAAACTATGAAATAACACATATGGAATCATGTAGTAACCAAAAAAGTGTTAAACAAATTATTATTCAAATAGCCACCCTTTGCCTTCATGACAGCTTTGCACACTCTTGGCATTCTCTCAACCAGCTTCATGAGGTAGTCACCTGGAATGCATTTCAATTAACAGCTGTGCCTTCTTAAAAGTTAATTTGTGGAATTTATTTCCTTCTTAATGCGTTTCATCCAATCAGTTGTGTTGTGACAAGGTGATAGCCCTATTTGGTAAAAGACCAAGTCCATATTATGGCAAGAACAGCTCAAATAAGCAAAGAGAAATGACAGTTCATCATTACTTTAAGACATGAAGGTCAGTCAATACGGAAAATGTCAAGAACTTTCAAAGTTTCTTCAAGTGCAGTCGCAAAACCATCAAGCGCTATGATGAAACTGGGTCTCATGAGGACCGCCACAGGAATGGAAGACCCACAGTTACCTCTGCTGCAGAGGATAAGTTCATTAGACTTACCAGCCTCAGAAATTGCAGCCCAAATAAATGCTTCACAGAGTTCAAGTAACAGACACATTTCAACATCAACTGTTCAGAGGAGACCGTGTGAATCAGGCCTTCATGGTCGAATTGCTGCAAAGAAACCACTACTAAAGGACACCAATAAGAAGAAGAGATTGCTTGGACCAAGAAACACGAGCAATGGACATTAGACCGGTGGAAATCTGTCCTTTGGTCTGATGAGTCCAAATTGGAGATTTCTGGTTCCAACCGCTGTGTCTTTGTGAGACGCGGTGTGGGTGAACGGATGATCTCCTCATGTGTATTTCCCACCGTAAAGCATGGAGGACGAGGTGTTATGGTGTGAGGGTGCTTTGCTGGTGACACTGTCTGTGATTTATTTAGAATTCAAGGCACACTTAACCAGCATGGCTACCACAGCGTTCTGCAGTGATACGCCATCACATCTGGTTTGGGCTTAGTGGGACTATCATTTGTTTTTCAACAGGACAATGACCCAACACAGCTCCAGGCTGTGTAAGGGCTATTTTACCAAGAAGGAGAGTGATGGAATGCTGCATCAGATGACCTGGCCTCCACAATCCCCCGACATCAACCAAATTGAGATGGTTGGGATGAGTCGGACAGAAGAGTGAAGGAAAAGCAGCCATCAAGTGCTCAGCATATGTGGGAACTCCTTCAAGACTGTTGGAAAAGCATTCCAGGTGAAGCTGGTTGAGAGAATGTCATCAAGGCAAAGGGTGGCTATTTGAAGAATCTCAAATATAAAATATATATTGATGGGTTACTACATGATTCCATATGTGTTATTTCATAGTTTTGATGTCTTCAGTATTATTCTACAATGTAAAAAATAGTAAAAATATGAATGAGTAGGTGTGTCCAAACTTTTGACTGGTACTGTACAGTGGGGTAAAAAATTATTTAGTCAGCCACCAATTGTGCAAGTTCTCCCACTTAAAAAGATGAGAGAGGCCTGTAATTCTCATCATAGGTACACGTCAACTATGACAGACAAATTGAGAATTTTTTTTCCAGAAAGTCACATTGTAGGATTTTTAATGAATTTATTTGCAAATTATGGTGGAAAATAAGTATTTGGTCACCTACAAACAAGCAAGATTTCTGGCTCTCACAGACCTGTAACTTCTTCTTTAAGAGGCTCCTCTGTCCTCCACTCGTTACCTGTATTAATGGCACCTGTTTGAACTTGTTATCAGTATAAAAGACACCTGTCCACAACCTCAAACAGTCACACTCCAAACTCCACTATGGCCAAGACCAAAGAGCTGTCAAAGGACACCAGAAACAAAATTGTAGACCTGCACCAGGCTGGGAAGACTGAATCTGCAATAGGTAAGCAGCTTGGTTTGAAGAAATCAACTGTGGGAGCAATTATTAGGAAATGGAAGACATACAAGACCACTGATAATCTCCCTCGATCTGGGGCTCCACGCAAGATCTCACCCTGTGGGGTCAAAATGATCACAAGAACGGTGAGGAAAAATCCCAGAACCACACGGGGGGACCTAGTGAATGACCTGCAGAGAGCTGGGACCAAAGTAAGAAAGCCTACCATCAGTAACACACTACGCCGCCAGGGACTCAAATCCTGCAGTGCCAGACGTGTCCCCCTGCTTAAGCCAGTACATGTCCAGGCCCGTCTGAAGTTTGCTAGAGTGCATTTGGATGATCCAGAAGAGGATTGGGAGAATGTCATATGGTCAGATGAAACCAAAATATAACTTTTTGGTAAAAACTCAACTCGTCGTGTTTGGAGGACAAAGAATGCTGAGTTGCATCCAAAGAACATCATACCTACTGTGAAGCATGGGGGTGGAAACATCATGCTTTGGGGCTGTTTTTCTGCAAAGGGACCAGGACGACTGATCCGTGTAAAGGAAAGAATGAATGGGGCCATGTATCGTGAGATTTTGAGTGAAAACCTCCTTCCATCAGCAAGGGCATTGAAGATGAAACGTGGCTGGGTCTTTCAGCATGACAATGATCCCAAACACACCACCCGGGCAACGAAGGAGTGGCTTCGTAAGAAGCATTTCAAGGTCCTGGAGTGGCCTAGCCAGTCTCCAGATCTCAACCCCATAGAAAATCTTTGGAGGGAGTTGAAAGTCTGTGTTGCCCAGCGACAGCCCCAAAACATCACTGCTCTAGAGGAGATCTGCATGGAGGAATGGGCCAAAATACCTGCAACAGTGTGTGAAAACCTTACAGAAAACGTTTGACCTGTGTCATTGCCAACAAAGGGTATATAACAAAGTATTGAGAAACTTTTGTTATTGACCAAATACTTATTTTCCACCATAATTTGCAAATATATTCATAAAAAATCCTACAATGTGATTTTCTGGATTTTTTTTCCTCGTTTTGTCTGTCATAGTTGACGTGTACCTATGATGAAAATTACAGGCTTCTCTCATCTTTTTAAGTGGGAGAACTTGCATAATTGGTGGCTGACTAAATACTTTTTTCCCCCACTGTATATATACAGTATATATACAAAAGTATGTGGACACCCCTTCAAATTAGTGGATTCGGCTATTTCAGACACACCCGTTGCTGACAGGTGTATAAAATCAAGCACAGAGACATGCAATCCACGTAGACAAACATTGGCAGTAGAATTACCTTACTGAAGAGCTCAGTGACATTCAACGTGGCACCGTCACATTTCTGCCCTGCTAGAGCTTCCCTGGTCAACTGTAAGTGCTGTTATTGTGAAGTGGAAAGGTCTAGGAGCAACAGCGGCTCAGCCGCAAAGTGGTAGGCCACACAAGCTCACAGAATGGGACCGCCGAGTGCTGAAGCGCGCGCGCGCGTAGTGAGTAAACATCATCTGTCCTTGGTAGCAACACTCACTACTGAGTTTAAAACTGCCTCTGGAAGCAACGGCAGCACAATAACTGTTCGTTTGGAGCTTCATGAAATGGGTTTGCATGGCCAAGCAGCCGCACACAAGCCTACGATCATCATGCGCAAATCCAAGCGTCGGCTGGAGTGGTGTAAAGCTCGCCGCCTTTGGACTCTGGAGCAGTGGAAATGCTTTCTCTGGAGTGATGAATCACGCTTCACCATCTGGCAGTCCCACGGACAAATCTGGGTTTGGCGGATGCCAGGAGAACGCTACCTGCCCGAATGCATAGTGCTAAGTTTGGTGGAGGAGGAATAATAGTCTGGGGCTGTGTGATGGGAATTTCTGTTAAACCTTTATCATGCTTGTGTAATAGAAGCTTTTTCTTTAAGCCTAGTTGTTTAGGCATTAATTCTGAGATTGTTAATATAACTAGATCATATGAGATGGGATTGTGCATGGGTATGGGCCTGTTTCTAACTGTTCTGTGTGTGTAGCATAAGAACCTAGTTTTAGAGAAGTATGTACAGCCCAGAGCTAACAGGTGAGACCTATGGTTTCCTGATAGTCAGAAGGAAAATAACCAGTTCCTCTTCATCTACTGAAGCAAAGTGTTAAATTCTGCGCACTAATGATAAAGCTGTTGTCCTGCCTAAGACCTGTTGCTGGGCAAAAGGTTCAAGCTTCTTTGTGTGTATGTGTGTGTGTTAAACCCCACATATCTAGGCAGACAGCGAAAAACGCTTGCTTGCCTGGTTCGAGGGACCATTAATCTACTTTTGAGGAACTATGTCTGGGAAGATTTCCTGTTGTTTTAACACCTATTGTCCTCAGAATGAGACAACCTATTTCACAGCTGGTCTGTACCCTATACCCCAGCTCTGTCTCATTGTCCAGCACATACACACACCAAGATCACAAGTTTTGTACATGCTTGCAAAAGATGGCTTGCCTATATAAGGTTTCTGTACTCCTCGTGTCATTTGGGCTCTCGTTGACCAGCTCCATTATTGCAATAATTAATAGACAAAGTATGATTGTTTGAAGAAATAACAAAGACTCCCCTAATTGGTTAGAATTTCCACGACAGCTGTTTTTCATGGTTCGGGCTAGGGCCCTTAGTTCCAGTGAAGGGAAATCTTAACGCTACAGCATACAATGACATTCTAGACGATTCTGTGCTTCCAACTT